ATTCACCAAGAGTTGTGAACTGCCATGAGAATCTTTTCATAAGTCCTGTATTTAAGTAAACAAAAGTCGCGTTCGTGCAAATAACTCAGCCGATCGAGTCGAAGTTGCTCGTCTCGCCTCGTGTGTGCATCGCGGCATTCGCCGTGTTCCTCGTTTTGTGTCTAGTGAGCCTAGGTGCAGCTAGATGACCTGGACAACTACGGTGGTACTCCTTGTTCGAGTTTCAGCCCAAGATTGGTCTTCTTGTCTTGTTGCCATTTGAAATTGCAGACCAATCTTTCAAAAACTTTGCAACCTTCAACGTTTTTTTTTCTTCAACCTCCTAGATAGATAGAGAATTTTATTGACTAACGTTTCGGCTAAATCTCCTTCTTCGGAGCCTGTAAAGGAAGTCGAACATGTGTGTGATGCACAATCATCCAAATACCTTTCAACTTACAAGAAGAAAACTCCAAGTGTTAGAAAACCAAAAGCGATGTTGGGAAACCTGTCCTTAAACGATGACAGAGCTGTAGGAAGCGCCCTTCGCTGTAGGTTTTTTTTGCATCATTTTGCAACCAGGTCTGATAATGACGTCGAACACTTCCTCAGAACGAATCCTGAACTTTTTCAAATTTCTTGTGATGCAGTATTTTTATGAACTCAGGCTATTGGTCAAATTTTGATCCAATGACTCGTTTCCATTGATGTTTCAAGGAAAATTAGGTTCAACATACTGATAATGAACGTGTGAGCAAATGTTCACGTTCAGCCCTCATTTCAAATCGATGGGTAATTCTTTTCATCATTGCGCTCGAAATAGTCCTCTTTGAATGCTTTCCGATTCACTAAACCTTTATTTTTTCCAAAACATTCTAGGTTTGCTTAAAATTTGATTTTTTCTCGTTTACAATTCCCCTTTCCGACGTGAAAAATTGCACGTGAAATAGTTTATGAACAGATTTTTAGCTAGAAGGACCTGTCAGTCGGTTTCGCTCGACTTTTCTTGTACGTATTACAATTACACAGGGAGTCGCAGGTTCTTAACCCATTGAGGAGCGTGATCCCAACTGACGTTCCTCAATGGTTTAAGATTCCGCGTGTTCACTGGGTAATTTAATCGCCTTTCACTTCAACTGGTTGTGTTTATTATGTGTCAATTTGCTCGTTTGACATTTGGCTAAGCTTCAGAACACAGAGCGTACCGTACTGTAATCAACTTATTAACAAGTCGGTACGCAGACAGGTAAATATTTTAGAACGGCTATTTCAAGCCGTGGTGAACATTTGCTCAACTGTGAAAGGCAAAAATAAAGAAATTTTCCAAAAGTGACCCTCCTCCTGTCCCATCTGGGGAGATGGACTCTATCATGGCCAATCATACCTTCTACTTACAAACTCAGAGCATAGCTTCCACCCTTAAAAAATCATATGAATGGGGTACAAGCAGTATTATGTATAAGCGTTAAGGAGCTTTGAGTACTGCGTATTCAGCATTACAAAAATTGAAAACTCTCGAAGATACTAGGATGAGCTGAAATTATTCGTCTTTTTTTGGGGCCAATGGCTTTTTGAAATTTGTTCTCATTTTCGATGACTTTCGTGTACTTCGAGCGCCTTCATCGGCTCCACAATTCGGTATCAGTTATCTCCTTTCTCACGCTTAAGCAACAATTTGAAATAGTTATAAAAAATTATAATATTAAGGAGCAGGAGCAGAGAAGTCATTCTCTTTCCCACATTTAAAACAGTAGGAAGTATAGGTTTCTGAAATCTAATTGAATGCTCCTAACTCTGAGTTGAAGAGCGAATTTCATTCCGTCAAAAAATTCATAGAAGCCCTCTACCCGACGACATCAAAAAATTTTTAAACGAGAACACGGTGTACGTCACGATCCAACGTGGTCCTGACGGATCATGGGCCATTACGACGTTATCCGAAGCGTTTGCCGGAAGGGGTCCCGCGTAGTCAGAACAACTGTCCTTATGAAGTTATCTATCAGTTAACAGATTGAAGAGGTTATGTAGCAGCCTCTGGTTGGAACAATTACACTAGGCCTTGAGCTCGACCAAAAGGAGATGACTTCATATTCTGGAGACGGTTAGGGTGGTGAAAGGGGCTTGCTTCTGCTAGTGAGGGGACATCTAAGGAGTATGTTGCCGTAAGTCATCCATCAATGGCGGCATCTGTTCGACGAGAGATTTGCTGAAGCGAGCCATGGGGAAATGACATTTTTCGGTCGAAATGTTCAGGGGACTGTAGGCTTTTAAATGACCCAGAAATCGTCAAAAACGGCTGGCAAAAACTCCAAAAAAGCTGTAATTGTGAGGAAATGGCGAATAGTTTCACCTGATTCTAGTCTCGCCCTCTTTCTTGTATGAATTGTACAACACTTATCCGTTCAATTTTCAAAAGCCATTTTACTCCTGGGAGCTCTACTAAGTTACGCTCCCTCCCTGACCCTTCCTCAAAGGGTGCTTGACTCAAAATCGCCTGAGGTCCGAAAATTGCGTGATAGTGCGACTATAAATCAATGATGCCTCAAAAAATTGCTCATACGAATTCTCCGACTTCCCTCTTCTTGTAATCTCGGCATGTCAGTTGTGAGTTATTATGAATCTTGTGCCTTACGAGGTTGTTTGATGGAACCTTTATTATTTCAAGGTCTAACGTTTCGACTGAACTGTCGTCTTCAGAGGCCGGTGGTTCCACCCTTTGAGCAGGTCCGTTGCCACACAGAAGTTAGTGGCCATAAATCAGGCCACTGACAAAATGTAGTTAAATAAATAATTTGAAATAAATTCAACTCAGGCCATTGAAGTAATGAAGGTTCCACCAAACAATCTCGTAAGGCACAACAAATTAAAAAAAAACTTACAATTGTTCAAACGTTTTCACTCGTACACTACATACTAGTCTAAAAAAGTGGTAATCACAGCTACGTTGATCAGTGGGATTAGATGCCAACTGAAAGGGGTACCTTCCACCGTTCTGTATCTTTTCTTCCGCCTTCCTCCAGCTTCGCCTTCCTATTCCATCTGGCAGCTACATTTCATTGTTATGATATGTGCTCTTTATCGAAAAATTGATAAATTGCTCAACTGAAATCTTTTTCTGGGACAAGCCATTCCACCGGTTTTCCTTCACAATCGGTGACTTTTTCAATGCATTTGGCGTGTGCAAGGGCTCTATGAAAAAATGTGGTTAACCTGGAACGGTGCCTCATCCATTATTCCAAAGTCATGCCTACGGTAGCTTCACCTCCTGTCATTGCCTCATCCTCAGCTTCAATGCTCTCCTCAAAAAGTGATCCATATCCTGATAAGCCTGCTCCCTTTCCTGCGCAGATGACTACAGCAGCGATGGAATCCGGCTTCCTCACATAATCAAGATTTTCAAGAGCTACCATAAGAAGCTGGTGCTTCACAAGAGATTACGTAGCTCCAGCCAAATATCAGAGTGAAAAACATCGAGTCTTTGAACTGGTTCCGTTGTTTCCATTTTTACTTTCGTCTGATCGCTAATATCGTCACGTCACACGGCCAGCTTCAAAGTTTCCCTCCTTATGTAAATTGTGAAAAAGTGCCCAGCTTTCAAGTCTGCCTTCTCGTGTAATCTCAGAAAAACTCTTTCCATTCGTTTTTACAACTTGAATGGTACAACAGTTCTATTCCAACTCACCTCTTTGCCTCGTTCTCTCCTCCACCTCTTGCTCCGTGTTTTCAGGCTCGGGGTTTTTGCACGCGGCACATGTAGTTATTGGCCATTCTCGCGTTGTTACAGTCACGTTATCGGTTTGCAATTTTGCCCGATGCAGTAGTATTGCTACGATAAATTTTATCAAATTAAAAAATGTAAATTTTCGAGTGTTCGGAAATAATTGGAATGTTATCATGAAATTCCGGTGAACTGTGGCCACGGCTACGTCCTTTATTTTCGATTAGCTGTTTATTTCGCCTCAGTGGTTCAGATACCTATTGATTGTTTGTTGGTATGTGGAGGCTTGTAGGCCTAGCTAACTGGTTCTTGGACCATGATGGCAGGTGAGTTTCCCGTGCCGCGCAATCGGGGACCAAGAGAAGCTATGGGGACCACTTTCTAAAAGTTTCAAAATTATTTTGGAATTTTTTGTGTGCATTGAATGCTTAGTTACTGTAACTGTTTTGCAATAATAAGGTGGGAGATCGAATAGGGTCTCTTTTAGTTGGAGTGAGGTTCGTAGAAGGTGGATATAATGGTCTTAGCCTAATTGATGTGTTCTCACTTTCTCAGTGCGATCTCGGCTCCGTCCTCTTCGGCCTTACGGTGGGCGGTGACCGTAGGGGCAAATCTTCAATGATTCCATGCTCACTGAATGATGCGCTGATTGCGTTTGACATCGCTGTCGCGATTGTATCGATTACCGATACATTCTTGGCATGTTTTTCTTTTAAGTTACTGGACGACCGTGACTTCCGCTGTTCTCCGTTGCTCACACCTTCGCCCTATTCCCATTCGACGTTTCACTATTCGAAAAGAACCATTTCTCAATTTATCATCGTGTGTTCATTCATCTTCTTTCTTCTACCCTTCATTTTTTGACTACAGTAGGCATGTCTTGCATTGCATTCACACATTTACAACAGCGTGAGACACATACGTACCGCATCCTCACCGCGAGGGGATTGTTTTGCTCGATATGTGATTCCAGTTTTATGTCTCAAAACTTTCATATCTATTATCGGATACGAAAAATACACTTACAAGCAATGAGTTATTGGTAAAGTAGTAAGTATTAAATTCGGGCGGTATCGCAACATACGGGGGCATCCTCTAGAATTAAGCCTAGATGGGGATAGCAACTCCGAGAAAACGAAAATTGTTCAGGTACCCTAAAGTCTTTCCACTCCTGCCTAAGGTTCATTTTTTAACAGAAGGGGGATGTCTTGCACGGTTTTAAGTGCATTGCCACCACAATGCCTCCTTGTCTTGCGATAGCGCCAAGGTATGTGAAATAATATGGGAAGATGCGCAAAACGGCATGTCATTAGCAACTCATTCAACTGCAGACGGTCCCTATGAACGAATACTTCTTTCAGTTGACGCCTCATCAGCGGGATCGGGAAATCTGGAAATTATGATCAACGGAGGTCGAGTACCATGCCGGGTGCGAGAGATTGTCAGCCGGCAATACAAGGCCGTATTTACACCCACTCAGGTAGGGCAAAGTGGATGGGCCTTTAGTGGGTGCGAATCTAGTTAGCGGGGATATGTGTCGAGTGGAGTTTCACAAAATATCTTCTCGATTGAGGAACAAGTGTTCCGATTAATCCGGTACGTACTGAGGTTTTCTCTTTTTCAGAGCGTCACTCATACTATAGAAATGCGATTTAACGGCGAAGAAGTAGCCGGCAGTCCGTGGCACATACCAGTTGAAGATCGACCAGAAAGAAGGCACGAGTCCAATCGGTTCGTTGGATTTTGTGCACAGTGTACAGGATAAAGGTAAAAGTGGAGTAGGAGGGGCCAATGCCATTTCTCTCCACTGCTCTAACGATAAAGGCCAAAATAAGGGCGTTGATAGGGTTCGGGAAAGCGTTTATAAAATTTCGATTCGAAGAGCTTTTTGATGAGAACCTTCCGAATCAGCCTGGAATGGCGCGGATGGCGCAGAGAAGCGATCCTGAGCCAGCGTCGAATACTTTTCTAGGAACAGGGGGAGAGCGTAAGGAGTGAGGTAGGAGCTCAACAGTTGAAGGGCCTCTGGAATGTGCAAAAAAAGGACTCTGGTTTCGAGCATTCAGGCATTTCACCGGTTCCTTTCACTAAGTTGCTTTGAATGAGCTCTTCATCAGAGTTTTTATGCTTACCGCTAGATTTTTAGCCCTATTTCAGTCCTTATCGTTAAATCCACGTAGCAGAATGGAATGCTTCCCTCCAATCCATTTTCATTCTGCATGTATAACTGAAGAGTGTGCCCAGCAGTAGGAAGAATGAGTTGACCTATTTCCTAGAATGTGCCACGCATTTTGACACACCTCACTATCGTAGACACTTCGGTCTGCCGCTGGTCTCTCTCTAGACGCGAGATCTTTGCCACATGAGCAAGAAGTCAAATAGTCAGCATTTCAGCACTACTTCGTACTACTCTGAGCTATCCGGCGCCGGCTTGGTAAGGGCTCCAGTTAACAAGATCGCCACGTTTGAAATCAATGGTGAAGGCTTGGAACTCAGCGATATTCAGGCGAAAATCTATGGTACGTTCAAGCTACTAGATAAGCTCATAGGATTTGTGCTATTCCCGTCATCAAAGGCTAATGTAGATAAATTCACACGATGCCGAGAAATGGGCTCCGGAAGCGCCGCTATGTAGCAAGTACAGGAACTTGACGCAAAAATGGAACAAGAATTACGATGAAATATGGCGCGGTGCTATCTGCAGTAGTTGAAAGGGCGTAGTCGCTCATTCTGCAAAAGTACAGAAACTGTCTAATGATTATAGACGTGTTGAGTTCACTAGATGACGCTACTGGACCCACCTTTATCGATAAGTACTTCAAGGCAGTGGCCACGCTTCACCGGAGGGTGGTACAGTTTTGATGACGACGCTGGATGTCATTGGTGAAGAAGCGTTATGAGGTGGTCCCACCAACCCCCGGCGCAATGACTGGTCAAATTCTTCAGTGACATCCATTGACTTCATCGAAAGCGTACCGACCTACAGCCATCGTGGCCACTGCTTTTAACAACGCATGAAAGCTCGTCCACACCAATCAAATGTGTCATTGTGGTTTACTTTCGTCTTCAACACCTGCTGATTTTCTAACTTTTCCGCTGATTATTTCCTGAGTAGTAATCAATAATGTTCTCTGTCGCATTATAGCCTTCAATAAATAATCTGAATTCGATCAGAAATGGTTCAAACTGCTCCTTTTCAGGACCTGATCAGCGAGAATTCCCAGTACGAATAATACCACGCGGTAATGGAAGATTCACGGCCGAATATCGTATTGAACAGGTAAAAGTTGTATTCTGTAGCAGAATTGTACTGCTAAAGGCAAAGTCCGGGACCGACAGTATTGAAAATGGGAAGAAACCGTGTACTGTTACAAAAATAAAGATTTCGTCTATAGTAGCGGTGAAGTTAAATAGCACTTATTTGTGGGCGGGGTCAGTGGTGGGCCAATGCTGCATCCATGAGCCTTTTTATCGCCTCGGCCCAAAGATTTGTACATGTTTTCAGCCTTTGCACCCACTTTTCCGGCTTAATTTCAATCAGAGATCCCGGACCTTACTTTAAACATTGACTAGCCGACGTAGAAGTGAAAGGGTCCAAAGATCGGCTTGCCCACGGCTTGCTCATTGTGATCAAATCGAATGTTCGGTGCAAAAGTGCGGCGACGTAGAATACAATTCGACAGCAATTGATGCGTTTTCGAATATGCGCTAGAATGATAAGTGTAGTTATCGATCGTTAGAAAACCACTAGTGAAGCACAGCTTGGAAATGGATTTTTGTACCGTAGTTAACAGCGTCACATAGTCGTGAATACGAACAATTTTTTGAAGACTTCCAAATGTGAAACGTTTCAGCTGTGGAATTATGCAGGCATTTTTCCGCTGATCGTCCGTAGTGCAAATTCAGTTTAGCGAGCGATTTTGTTGATGCCAACAGCGAGCGGCCAAAAAAGGACCTGATAACTGGTTACTGGTACAGTGAACTGATTACTGGGCTCCCGATCGGCGGTTTCGATTGCTAGTAGGGTTACTATAAATTAGGCAGCAATCAGTAAGTTCATACAGCTAGGTCTGTAAGATACTCATTTTCTGCACGTTTCAAAAGTAATTCTGGCAGGATTGGTATGACCACTTTGACAGCGATTGTTCAGTAAACTTTGCACTTGATCAATATAAAGAATTCCTGGAATGCGCCCCAATATGAGCGTGACAGTTGAAAATTAGAGCGTGACGAAAAGAGAAGAGAGGATTTGTTGCTGGCGGTTTACGTGTTGAATGGTGTTCAGAGCTTTTTTCATTTTAGGTCGGTGAACATCATCTGACGGTGTGGATTGCTGGTCGTAAAGTGGATGGCAGCCCGTTGTCGGTGGCCGGCTACTCGGCAGATCGAGTGAGGCTCGAGCCGCTCGGGGGCGGTGCAGTCGGGCATCCTGTACAGTTTGTCGGTGAGTCGTCGTCGTTGTCGTCGTCGTCGTCGTCGCTCCTCTCGTCCTCCCCCCGTCATACAGCCAGCCAGCACACACGGGGGCCCCCGCATTCATTTGCCTCACCGCTCCACGCTCATTTCCCTCTCATCGAGTCTCGTACCTTACATTATTCACCGACGCGCACAAGCACATGTACGCAGCACACGCACACGTACACACATACCAGTAGCAACACATTTGATCAGATCAGTTGACACTGTCACTGTCTCGACTAGCCGTTGTGCCTCACCGTCCATCGTTTCCTCAAACGCCCTACGCCCTGTCAACCCATCAACCCTCTGCCCGGTCATCTAAGCTTACTGCTACCGATCTTAACACAGTAATGAGTGTGCCGACTGATGGCGACGGTCGTCGTGCCGACACTTCACATGGGGTCGATGAGCGACGAAGAAAACTCAACTACTATTCACAATTATATGTTATTCCTGCAGTTGATGCTGTTGATGCCGGCAAAGGACAACTTGAAATTTCTGTCAATCAAGGACGCGTGCCGAACAATGTACAAATGCAAGGCGCCGGAAGGTATCCAATTTTTGTACTTTCGCCTGACGTTACTTGTGTATTCTTACCTCTTTCAGCCATTTCCTACATCTTAATATCCTACTTGACCAACCAATTAAGACTAAGTTGTAGCACGATGTGTTTACTACATTGTTGTTCAGATGCCTTGTCACTTTCATTCCACAACATCCTGGCACCTATGTGATCGATGTAACGTTCAATGGCGAACAAGTGCATGGTTGGTTCCGTTTTTGTGCAGAGAATTTTCAATAATGAAAACTTGTTAGACAAGTCTTTATGGCGGGTAATGAACAATACCAAATTTCAATGTCGATAGTACCGTTAGAAATCAACTTAAAAATCAAATGTTATTTGTAGTAGTTACAATAAATATATTTGTAACTAGTACACAAGGCAGTGCTCAGAATTCTTGAAATATTTGTACTTTACCTGCGGACCATGTTGACTCAACAGACGGCACAAGTTTTTTTTTGGCACGTTTTCAGGCTGTCCGATCAAAGTTGAGATACTGCCGAAGCAGGTTGGCGAAGTTGTGCACGCGAATCTCACACCAACGGCTGTATCCACTGCCATTTCAGCTGGTAAGCTTTTTAAGGCCTTAGCTATTGTATTGTGGGTCTAATAATAGAACTAGTATCTCCTGGTTGCAGGGGACGGGGGGGGGGGTGAGTAAATGAAGGGTCTAGTTTATCTACCTTTTTTCATATTAATGACGTTTCCTTATCTGATCTCTTACAGTACATTAGAGAAATATACTGTAATTGCATGAAAACTGCACAGTACTGTATGCTATTGATGAATGTTCTGATGATGGCAGGGTTTATGGGTGTGAAAGGAACGATGAAAAACAGCCATTCTAAACGAGTCTCAGTTTCATTGGATTGAACTCATCATTCAGTTGAACCCGTTGAATAGATGCCTGATCAGAAATTATCGTTGTCGTATAACCACCACCATGCTCATTCCACTCACACGTACACCTTTTACGAGTGTGCGGCCGACTGTACACATGAAAGTAGATTAGGATAATGCGCGTGTCGCACTCCATAACTAGTTATCAAGTGGTGCACGCTTACCCCGGTCTGCAGCCTCATAGACCGGCAGATAGGCTAGGATAGATGTCTGGTAGTAATCATTAAACTAGTGGCCCTCATTAGTTAAGTTTCACGATGGCGATATGTTCCCTATGAGCGAATATGTGTTCGAATAACCCGTTTAGGTGGACAAAGGCCAGTAAAAAGGCTTGTTGTCATCTCATGCTTGGTTTACGGCCAGATCTCGACTAGATTGAACATGTCTTTAGTTTTTGATCCGTGAATTAATAGATGATACCAAATATATTAGCAAGGCGAATAAATGCCTAAAATTAACGTTGAATACCCTTGCAAACTCGTAAAGGAAAACACCCGCGTTGGAGACCGCGCATGTTTTACGTTTTGCGGCCGCGTGAGAGATCAGTGAAATTTGGGATCTCGTCAAACAAATTGGAAAGAAAAACCTCCTGTATGATGCAGAAGAAGCCTTGTCGAATGAGAGGGAAACGACAAAAGAAAAACTGGCGCTATCGCAAGATACGGGGCATAGCAGTGGTAGTGCCTTCGAAGCCCCGCAAAGGAGCTCTCTTTTGTTGAACGGGGGACTGAACCTTGAGTGGGGAAGGAGAGATTCCAGAATGGTGAGCAGTTTTCATTTTCTCCGAAGCTCCTATGAAGTCCTAAGCTTAGTTCCAGAAGATGTCCCCTACCTTCCTAAATGTGGGCTGAAAGATCCCAAGCCCTCGTCGGACTGCCGCTAAATATGGGCTGCGTAGGCTCTATGGTGTTAAATACCTTTTCGGCTTGGAAAGGGATTCGAATTCCTGGCGCATCCTACAGAAGAGCGGTTTTCCACCTCAAAGAAGCATTCTCATGAAACTTCTGTGGAATAGAATGAATAGTGTTAAGATGCAATTGCATTGAAGTGGTATCCACAGGCTACGTAACTTACAGTATCTAAATTCCTGGTCGGACCCCTTTTTGAAAACTATACGAGTACGTCCCCTCTCTATCAGTACTGTTGTAGGTGCATGGGCCGCAGAGAGGTATTTTCGGCAGTCAGTACTCAAAGTGTAAACAATTAATCGAGTGCATGTGGGTACAGTATGACGCGATACATGGGATCAACGCGATAGTACTAAACCACGATGGAAAATACAGAGGTCCTTCTGCAATTTATGTTTGTATTGTAGTCCAATTGGGATGGAATGCACGCGGAGAGATTCAGCCCACTTGCGGGTATATGGCTCGACCAGCTCGATTACTGGAAACCAGGAAAAGTCAACCAGTGCCCACACTCATTGCTAGCTCAAACACGTGCGTGCACGGAAGGCAGTAATTTATGTACTAGGAGATAATGATGGCTCTGTTTGGGTTTAACCCAGGCAAAGCTTGCTGCCCACCCTTGCCCTCTCTCATCATCGCCAGCGCCATCCGCCACTGCTTTGATGACAAAAATCGTTATCATCCTTCAATTTCTCATTTTTGGACATGTTGTGGCCCTCCAACAATAACTAACCCGTCGGGTCCTGTACGCCAGCAGAACGGTCAAGATCATCACCTCATCACCGAGGTGTTCGGCCACTGTACGTAGAAAAGTGCAAGTGCTCTATCTCGTCCTGGCGCTCCCGAGTGGCAGCGAAGATCAGCACACGTCAGATCAAGTCTGTCGAAAAATTTGGCTAACATGGTGTCAGGCTGAAGTCAAATAACCTGATTATGACTTGGTTAAAAATAACATTTAAATGTAGTGAACTGAGACTTAAAAATGGAGTGCCAATATATATTTTTGAATTTCGTTTTCATATGAATCAATCGTTTTATACATTCATGCCGGTGACAGCCCATTTGAGCTGCCGGCTTTTGATCGCCCACGAACCGTTCTTCCTACATTTTACATATTTTTGATATCGAATAATTAACTTACAGAATGCTAAGATTACTTTGTGCTATTTATGTTTTTGTTTATCCACCAGACGAAACCCCTGTGTGAGGTAAAATCGCTAAAAAAAGGAAAATTAGTAAAATCGCGTCTGTTACACCATGAAGTGATAAAGGGCGTTGTGTAAATGTATTAACTCGTATTTTAATCTAGATCGTTTCCGCGTCTGTAATATGGAGTTCGTTGTTTTTCGATTTCATGCACATTCTTTTTTCCTTATTCTAGCTCTTTACTTCTCCCTTTTTTATTTTTTGTTCACATACAACAGAGGGTCTCTTACTTACCTCTGGAGGTTGATTCAAAAGGCATAGGCCCAGTCCTGAGAATAAATGAAGAAGAGGGGAAAAAACACAATAAACAGATTCAAAAAAGAACGAATAAGAAAAAAGAGCATCGTGAATGAACACCCCCTTGTCACGTTTCCCTTTTTTGTGACTCCTTTTCTCTGTTATTGCTTCTACGTATGGAAGCCTTCTACTAACCATTTTTTAGGTGAATGATACTTAAAATCCTAGTAATTTTTTGGCCATTTGCCTGTTTGATTTCATAAGTGGTCCTCATTCTTTCAATTGGTAATTGAGTAACAAAGCGTAACCCGTTGATACAGGTATCCCTATAAGTCATTTGAGGGCCAGAGTGATGTATTGGGAAGTGGCGCCTCATAAGACCCGCGGGCTGTGAAGGGGTCGTACGCTGTCCAGGTCTACCAAACCGTTCAGCCTCCGGATCCGTGGTACCAGACTTTTTTGGGAGGATAAAAACACTGTCTCGCACATCGGCTGGCCCACACAACTCACTCACTCTGCTTTTTTCATTTTATTTGTCTCAAATAGTGAAGATAATCGGTCAATTCATGGTGAATAACATTATTTCTCTGTTTCAACGACTTTTCATAAGATGTTAAGGGGACAAGGTCAAAATTGACTTCTTTGAAAAAAAGTTTCTCAAAAATAGATCAAAGGATTTGCAGGTGGATCAAGCATAGCAGGTGCTTTCCGTCAGTCTCGAGCACCCACATCACCGGGACTCCTTCACCACAGTCGTCAGCGATCGGCCGAGACCAATCCTCGTAGTCCAACGCTGCTTCAAGAAGCACGTGGCCGAGCGGAGAAGCCATGGATGCAGGTTGGCAAGTCTAACAATTTTTTGTGAGCAAAATCTATGAGAGGCATTGGTCTTCAAGGCTTGAACTCCTTTGTTTGAATGCTATCAGAAAAAAAGCATAATTTTAGTTTAGCTGCTTACATCGTGTCTTTTGCTATCATTGACGGGTCCTTGCGAGGAAGGCGGTGGCAAATGTCAGTGTTCATACGGTTCTCTTGGCCAAGGCTCGAATCTCGGACCTAATCACGCTTATTCCAACCCGACCTTACCTTCCTGGTCCATTCCACTGCGGCCAGATTCATTCGGGGGAAATAACACTGTTAACATATCCATCAGCTAGCACCCCATGCAGAGGCGTGTGCACTGAATGCCTTTGCGGTTTCGAAGTGGAGTTGAATGCGCGGCGCATTTCAGAATGATCGAGCAACCGCAAGCACTTTAGCATTTTGATCGGATCATATGTCAAATATAACTCTGCATAGGCAAAACAAACCTGCCGTTCCTCTGGGGTCGGTAAAGTTATGGTAGTCTCGTACATTTGGGTAAAGTTACTGAGTTGTTCAATGGTGATTTTAAAAAAATTATTGTACAAGGCTAATTCGAAATACTCTTCATCCTGCTTCAATTCATCAATCAAATGCCACTGCGATTTTGAATTGAAGTAGAATGCGTCGCGCACCTTAAATAATGGTTGTTCTCTCCAATGCTTTTATCTTTTCCACAATGAAAGTTGCCATGCAGAAATGCGGTAGAAAACAGATGGTTTCCACATCAATTTTTCGCAATGAGGATGATTGGTTTATTTATAGACCTATGCTCCCACATCGTCTCGATTGAGCTCTTCATTGTCGCCGAATAGACATTGGTCAGCTACCAGTACATATGACAGGACGTACACTACCGACAGGACTCTTTCCCCAAGTGATCCGACCAGGTTCATATAAGGAATTTCAATCGTTTATCGCTGTTTACTTACAAACTTCATCTATTTATTGCAGATTGAAACATTTCGTGGACACAACGGTTCCCCATCGTTCCCCATCACCACCACCACCGCAGAAAACGTATGCGATACAGTATTCACCAGTACAGTATTTTGTGTCACATGGTATGACTTGTTAACTTGTTTTTTTAAGAACCTATGAACATACTGCTTACAATGGACGCGCACCTTCACCATCAGGAGTACGGTAGGTAATTTGAACACCGGCTCCATACTAGATTTATAGAGAAGTGAAAACGGTTGTAGGTCAAGGGAATTCGCTGAGCGTCAGTTTGAGACGCCATCGCCGACTCGGTACGAACGTAAATATCCGGTTCCGTTCACCAGCACCACTACCACGACGAGCACAAGTGGGGTTCGACAAGTAGAAAAGCCCTACAGGTACTGCCATGGAAGCTTTCTAAACGTTCCACTGCTCGAGCGCTAGTTATCAACTTGAGGCAATCGTTTCTGTTCCAAAAAGTAACTACTTCAGGTCCACATCGCCGATCAGTCGAGACGAGATCCGATCACGCACCAGCGATCGGGTTGTGTCACCGTTCAGGTGAGTACCAGCACCAAATTATAATTCCGCAGGGTTTTAGTCAGAATTTAGAAAGAATCTTTGTGTACCTATGTGGCCGCAAATGTTTAACGGTTAAGATAATCGCAAGAAAGAAAAAAGCGAAAAAAGAAAAAGATGAAAGAGGGCCCTAAAGATGTGGACCTACACGCAATTCGCAGCGATGGATATGCTCTTGCGATTTATTGCCCTCACCGCGGCGCTACTGGCGCGGGACGCCTCCCTCTCACTATCTGATCCTCTAGCCAGTTAGCAAAGAGAGTGTTAGCGTTGGGGAGGGCAGCTCCGGTGAGAGTCGCATCAGTGCGGAAACCAATGGGCAAGGAATGTGAGGGAAATCTCGGGTTTTGAGCCGTTTCTCATGGTTTTTTCTTCACCCTGGCACCACTGACCACTTCACTCTAATGAGCTGCCTTTCAATAGCAGATTCCGCCTCTAAATGGGACCCCCTTTCTTTGTCCACTGACCACCGATAATGGACGAGCTGCAACCAACTGAGAGGTCGTTTGCACACTGCAAACCGATAGCCGCTATCATTCAAGCAAAGATCATGCTTTGATTGATCACACATTCCATGGGAAATCATAGGATGCACACTCGAAGTGAACATCTCATCCAAATGATAAGAACAATGATGCTGCTAGCAACACACTAATGGGCGGAGCACAGGCGGGGGAGGCGGGGCTCAGGAATTATTGGCATCCCCAGGGCGCTGGACTAGCGCGCCTTTGGCCTCGAAAAGGCCACATCTCACTTTTTTAGGCCCCTGACTTCTGCTTCCACTGGTGCATGTATTAGGTTGGCAAGAAAGTCCTGCGACACCTTTTCAACTTTCTGGTTTTAATTCTATCTTTTCTTGATTACAACTCCTGACCGGTCATATGTCTATCATGAGTGTTCACCACTTTTCTTCAGCGCTCAGAAAATTTCCTGATGCGCTTTTTCCAAAACCCAGCGAAGAGCAGGTGAACAAAGGAGGCGACCTCACTTCTGAGTTGTAGTTGATCGTCTAATGATTTCGTTATCAAGATGATGAATAAAGGTCTGGGATAGGTTGCAGGCCTTTATTGCTGGACCAGGGCATTACGCTAAAATAGGTAAGATGTGTTGCCGCAACTCCCGAATTTCTTACCGGGCTCATTTCGGATCATGGTGATTCGCACCGTCATGGAAGAAATGAATATTGTCGCGGTACGAGGGCTCTTGACGAGCTGCCCTGGCCTTCTTCTGGTATTCCACAGCATAGGCCTCTACCTATACAGTGGTGCCCATAACGAAGGATATGTAGTAGGAGCCTCTGTAAGAGCCCTATCTGTAATGGAGGGTGAGAGACGCTGCTGGCTTCTTATAAAAATATCAAAAGATCGGAAGCGCTGGTAAAGGTGAACACGTTGTAGCGGTGAACGACATGCCTGTTGAAGCCATTGCAGATAGTGTTGATCTTTGACAAAAATCCATAGTTATGTAGACATTTGTACTAGACAGTGGCTCGGTGTGTGGATTTACTAGTGGTCGAGGTTTTTCGAATTTTTTTGGATAACTACTTACTGCAGTACTTATATCCACCTCATGGATTAAAGCCTCGAGAATGCTCTACCATTTGTTGGCCATAAATGTTACCCATGGATTGTTCACAAAAAGAGGAATTTTAGAGAGAGTGTCGCAGGTCTTTCTTGCCAACCTAATATAATACTTCCATGCTTGCACACACACTATCGTAATCTCTCGCTTTAAGGAGCACTCCATCACCATCAACTGGTGAGAGAATACGTCGCGTTGAGCAGCTGGATCCTATAGCAGCCGAAGAAGAGCGCGAACGACGGCGAGCACAAGCAGAACGTGATCGAATCGCCTCGTCATCGGTTGGATACACAGTTGCACAGTACGGACAACCGGGCAGTGTAACAATCGACAGAAGTCACTCACCCGATAGGTATTTTTCACTTTACTAGTACTGTTTACATTACAGATGCTTCAATCCTAGCCTTTTCAAGGTACTCCACACCACGATCATACGGTAGTACGTTGGAGAAAAAAGAACCCCGTAATGCGGTCAGCCCATCGACATTGGAAAGCAAACAGGTAAGCAAATAGAATTTGAAGGGTCTTGATAAACGAAATCACCGCCGAGGTTTGAGTTATTAATCATTCAGAGACCCGAATCACCCGAATACTCTGCGGTCTACGAGCGTTTTGATCGGAGACGTGATGAACCTCCACCGGCTCCTGCTCATGCTCAACCAGATTCAACAAAAGCTAAAACACCTTCATCGACTGAGAATTCTCATCAACGGTACAGGTATGGATAAACCGGCTGGTTACAAAGGCATGAAAGTTATCATCCAACATTTGTAGATCGAGAAGCCCTCCACCGGACTACGACACCGGTCCCTCTTTGACGCAGAGTATCGCCACATCGATTAAGGTTAGATCTTTTGCGAAAAATCCTATCAACGAACCTTGAACGCTTAACGCATTTGGGTAATCCTTCATTCTTACAATCGTGTACTAAAGCCAAGAGTTCCGTGGGAGACAGTGTCCAATCATTTGCGACGTTGAGTTTCGAGTGAGACACACCAAAGGGTCACTGTGACCATTGGTGCTACACACTGACAACAACGTGGCGCGCATGCGCTCCAAATTTTCGTACTAATGCAACACGTTGTGTCCGTCTTGTTATCGTAATTTTCGTGTTCTCAAGCTCGCGGTCTCCATCATCGGATCCAATAATACAGTGTAGAGCACACATAACCTGTAATGGAATTATTGAAGGGCTATCGATGGTCCCAAAATATAGGAAAAAAATGCTGAGGCGCGCACAACGGGCTGTCGTTAATGTTTCGAGCATGTTCATTGTCTAGAACTCAGGTGAACAGTCGAATAGGCTATCAGGCGAAAAGAACGGGGTGGGTATCGATTAGGCGAACAGGAGAGCAAGCGAATTGGCGATCGCAATCGCGTTCGACAAACTCTTACCTTGGACGGCGTGACGACGGAGTCGATAAACTCCTTTCTCCCAATCCTCCCTTTCTATGATTGTTCGCTCACCTATCCACTCGAACGATACGTATTTAATTTGCCTCTTCTTCTATACTCGAGACGCATACCGAAACAATCCTTGACGAGGACCAAGTTGTAATGACCGCATCAAGCCCAAAAAGCTAATGATCAGCAATGAGTTGCACATATGAGTGCTTCACTGTTGTTACTTCTAAAGATTCAGGCGATTGCTATTCATCCTTTCTACTAATAATGAACATTTATTGGTTATTACCTTGGGTTAACATACAGAAGGGATACACCGCTTGATTTTCCTGCACTAAGACATTTTTGGAACATTCGAGGGAGAGTGGCGATAAGTCAAATTTTGCGCACGAATGTGCCACTAGCACTCAGGATTCATCGTAGCTAGCGATACGATGCCGGCCAAGAGACTGGTAACCGTAGTTTTGGGTAGTGAGTGCCGCTTCTCAAAGGGAACACGTGGGGCGACTTTGAACCACTTGATACCACGAAAATTAGACCTAGTGTCCTTCCTCCACTACAAGATTGGGATTGGGTGTCTCTGTAGGGCCATCACAGAAATTAATTATATTCAAGTTCAAATTTCCCTGCTCACTTGTTCGAAGAAATGTACCGGTATTAATGTCTTTTATTCTGATTGTTGGATTACTTCTGCAATTCTCAGGAGAATCCTTTCTCTTTTTTCGCTTTCCGAGACCAGATTTTGATGATCCAGACTTTCGTGAACGTTTTTCAAATCCCGCAAGGTCGTCAATCTTTTCATGTCACGGTAGTTTCTTTACTCTGCAGAACTTCTGATTAATTTGGTTCATTGACGGATCCCTCTTATGCGAGCAGACGGCGATTTACAGTAGAGTTTCTGTGATCGGGCACAATTTTTTCCAAACCGGGCGTCAAGTTTTTTCCAACCGGACGCGTCGACTAACTGGTTCTGTATCGATTCAAACAGCTACAGCGTTTTTGCTTGAGCTTTTATGAGTGGTGCTTCTGCTCGATGAATCTTCAGTGGGTCCCTTTTTTGTTGAAATTAAACATTAAATTTGTTTTGCCGCTCCTGGCACACTCGCTAAAACGATAGGCGCTAGAATCAATATCAAAATCGTGTCAGTTAATTGTCAATGAAATATTTCTTCTATATCTTTTTCAAATGACGAGGTACACTAAAGCCAGTCAAATGACATTATGCTTCATACCGCTACAATTCGCAATACGCAGGCCTACGGCTATAGGTTTTTCCTGCTATTCCAATTTCTTTTACCTCGCTTTGACCCAGGCAAAGTTGTGGATTTCTAGACAAAATTAAGCGCCTGCGCCAAAAACATGGAATGGCACATGAGCACAAAGCGTGTACTCACTTGGTGCTGCGAATTAAGGAGGGGCGCTGACAGTTCGGAGATACATCTGAAGTCCGTGATTCCCTTGTTCCTTCACTCGTGGTTTAACTGCCACGTTTTCTGCTATCCCAGGACGGACCAGGCCAATCCTTTCTCCAATTACTGCCCACGTTTTGTTTGTTACTCTAACAAATGAAACGTTAAAAATCGATATCTTCAAATATTTCCTAAGATTTTGCGATAATCCAAAAAAAAGCCTTGATCGCCCGAAAACGCCTTGCCTCAATTTTAACACCCCCTCAGACAGCCAATGTCCCATGTACTACCGTTTTATCGTGCGTTACCCAATACAAGCGTAACCCTGGGTAAATACGTTGCCACCACAAGACTCTGGTAATGGTAAATACAGCGTTTGCATTGCAACTTCTAAACTTCACAGTCATTCTACACATGCCACAAGGTGGTATGCTTCCCTCAAAAGGAAATAATCATTACGTTTATCCAGCCATAGACAGCTGTTGTTTTCATTACCTGTGTGCTTCCGCACGGTACGCTATGGATATTTCTATCCAAGGTATTTCGAAGTACATTATTAGGAAGCTAATTCCATTGTGGATTTAGCTCCTTTGCATGCATCACTTAACCATTAAGGTTTACATAGCATGTTCAAGGTCAATCACCTCAAGCTTTATGTGAATACAATACTTCATAATTCCTAAACCTAGTCTCGCGCGGGTCATCAAGGGATACCACCTTCTACAGTAAGACTGCTCTTCGCCGCTACGACGTTGCCCAGGAAGCACCACGTGGAGGTGGCAGCCGGAGGCGCTGAAGTCAAACGAAGCATAATGGGTTCCTGGATCCCGCCCGCGAAGCAATGCTATTTCGCTTCGCTGCTACTGAGGGGACTTCATTTTTCGTCTTTTTCGACGGCTTTTCTTTTTCCCGTTTCCCAAGGCGTCACACTTCAAACTTCCACTGTTAGTTCCAAGCGCAAAAGCACGCCGATTGGATCCCGGACTTCGTTGAGTAGAGCTTTAAGTGAAGCGCATTCACTACCTTGGGTTACATCGCGATCCATTTTTATGTGCACTGTGGTTTCTCTTCCATTCCGGTTCGCAGAGGCTTTAAGTCCGCATTTGATAAGTACAGGGTATAAAGGATCTATTTGTGGGCTCAGTCATTTGAACGCCCTAGCCGCTTGCTGGATGCGGTGGGGTTGAAGCTTCGGACCGTGAGTCTGGCTGGAAGAACTCCAACCTTTACGCCGTGCTTACTTACTATTATATCTTACTGTTAAAAGGCGCAGTGTCACCGATTTAGCGTTTGGAGAAGTTCCATCATTGTCGTGAAATCGTACAACAAACAGAGTACACATTTGATAAGATTCAATAGTGCTACGTCGCTCGTATTCAGTGTAACATTCCAGTTAGTGTCCCAATTAGCGCTTAGCTGGCAACAACCGCCATTGCCATCGTTGGCGCTGTCATCGTCGTCCTCCTCATCATCGCCGTTGTCATCAGCATCGACCGGTTATTCTTGACTGCAACCACTTCACTACAATAACTACATATAGACGTAACTAGTTCTTATGTTCCTTCCGTACCGCAATAATTATAAATAGCCCCGGGTTGGTAGAGTATTGATGAAACTTTCAGTTTTCTATGAAAATGAGTGGGATGGAAGTGTTGTGTTTTTCTTAATTGGTTCATCAACTATTTGAAGTACTCGGGAAGGTGTATGCTTTTCTATCAGTAAACGCTGAAAGTTATCGAGCGCTTATTACTGATGTGCCATTTCGGAGTGGGCCATGCATTTGACTTCTACAGAACTTCGCAAAGAAATTTAAACTGCAACATGGTTGTAGACGGACTCGTGAGCCTAACCGAGATTAAGGATAGCGTAGTTGTGGTACCAAACGTGCGTTCTGATATCTAATCGATCTCAGAGGAAAGCTTACAAAGCTCGGATTTCCTGCTTGCGATTCGATTCATTAATAGTGCCTGCGGTGGCATCGTGTTTACCCAGGGTTACGCTTGTGCCGGGTAATCCACGATAAAAGCGTAGTAGTCGAAGGCATCAGCTGTTCAAGAGGGTGTTGGATTAAGGCATACTTCCGGAGGATTAGGTTTTTTTCAAATTTTCTTCACAAAATTTTAAGAAGTGTACTAACAATAAGGTCTCGATTTTTACCGTTTCATTTATTTATTGAATACACCTGAGCTAACTTTCTGAGAATAAGAAAGTGGAAAATAAAAAGGGTGTATGTGTTGTATTTTTTTTTTGGAAGAAGGAGCGATTTTCAAAATTTCTCGCGGCGCCATGTGTAACCATGCTTTAGCCCATGCTTGTTCTCGCTCTTTTCTCAGTGTGAATACTACCCTACTAAACCTTGATTTGATGTTTACTACTGGAAGAAGAACAGAGAAATGTCGTAGAGAGCAGCAGATTTTTTCCCATTCAGAAATTCGTTTGCATATTGCACAATCAATACGTTTTGCAGACCTACGACGAGCCCACTTACACGGAAACTACTGCGATCACGCGTACAAGCTACACGATTTCTCCAAAGACCGTAGACAAAGAACAAGAGAAGTGAGCTGATAGAATTTTCCTTCACAGCTGGGGAAAAAACCGTCGATTTAGGAAACCCGAAGCGACACCGCATCGCACTGGTAGTCCAGCTGATGAGAAGGTGAAGGCGAAAAGCAAGGATGATCAAAGTTTCCTAAGAACACAATCCGAGGTACATTTTTCCACCACTTTTCAATCAGTACTATTCCCCAGTTCGAATATCATCTATAATTCCACTTGGCCTGCTAGTCGGGTCAAACTGAACTGTGATTCATCGTGATCGCACAGCGTGTTGTGCAGTACTGCATGAATGTACAATTGAATCTTCCTTTACGGTTTCACCTCTGGTTTTTGTATATGCCATGTAAAAAGAGGTTTAAAGTTGTTCTGTTCAGTTCATCGATCGAAGCGCTGCTGTACCACCGCATACACTACTTCGAAGTGACGAAAAATCACAAATTTATGAAATGCCAGCGGAGAAGTTGAAAAGGTAGACACATACTTTTTGAATACCTATCGTTACGGTTAGCACGTTTTGTAGCGATTTTCGAGAGAGCTGCAAAGAGAAGAAAAAAATGACTCCTTATTTCATTCGCGTACTCTATTTATTTATTATTTATTGCGTACATACAATGACCGCGCTCTTGAGGATATTTTAGAGCAGGATATTTGGTGAATGTCTAATAGTAAATATGAGCGAATAAAAGAGACTCAAAAAGAAAGAAAACCAACAAGAAAGCAACATTGAACCAGTTGAGGCTATGGAAAGATTCACGTGACCAAAAAATGTAAAGCAGAGTCAATAGTGAAGAGAGTGGTCCACTAGCAAGCAATCGCATGGCAATAGCTCAGTAAGGCCGATGTCAAAGTTTGCTAATCGAGGATTCGCTAGCCGCAACGCGACCGCGGATGGTAGCGAATCCCTTGATTCGCGAAGTCTGACATCGGCCAATGGGGTCTGTCAGGGAGGGCGAATCCATTCCAAAACAGGAAGAAGGGCAAAGTGCCGAGAGTCCTTAGCGGTAAGCATTCTTTGCGAGTCTTTTCATCTTTGTTCTTTATAAAAGTGGCACCTTGTTCGACTGTCTATAAGCTCGACGCTCTTACGAAATTAAATTAGCGGCCTTTTCTTTTCTCATCTTTTAATTAGCTAGCGTGGGCTTCAGCACTTTTTGTTAAGCTACCCCTGCTACAGCCACTTTCCAAGCTCCTGCGTAGATGTAATGTTCACTGCACAGCCCCGTCATAGGGTTCGAACCAGAATTTTGTCAGCCTCAGTGGGATCGTAGTAAAAAATCCTCATTCGATAAGTAAGTGGGAGGTAAAACCAATATTTCTCATTCGCCTGGAATTTCCCTTTTCCCTTATGAGGATCTGGGGTTGAGTGACGAAGAAGTGGTCTTGAACGGGATTTCTGGTTTTGTAAGGCCTGAATGTGAACTGTTGCCTAGTCTATTCGCTTTCTTTCTTTCTGGTGAAAGCTCCCCACTTGGGCTTTTCCTCATGTGGCATTTCGTATTTGATCTGTCACTCTTCAGTTTCACGATGTCCGCTCGGAGATTTGGCAGGTGCGCCAGATTACGGAGCAAGCATGGCAGCAATTTAACTGATATTAAGATTGCTGTTTTCTGCTGTCCTAGTTTGGTTACTGTGGGGTAGAATTGCTTATTTCCACGTTTGGTGTTACCGAGACTAGCATATGTATAGTGTCTCTAACGTTGTCGCTTTTTAACCAAAAAATTTGTCATCATTCCTCATCGCTTTCATCGAGTATATAGCCTTGCGAAAAGAGATTGTTCTCTAAAAATCTGTGTTTTCTTCCTCTATGTTCCATAGGTTTGTTCAAATTTTAGCCTGTCGAAGGGAGGTTCGCGAAAAAGTGACCCGAATAGATCTATTTATGTTCTTCGGCGAATCAATCAATGATGTACCTTCTTATCATGACCTTTCCGAACTTCGCCCCTTAGGTGCGGAAAGGTTTTTGCCTGTTTCTTTCGATTGGCAACGATAGGTCATGGCAATTTCAGTTGAATATTCTTCCTCTGAAACGCTATTGTTTCTATTCACAGGTTTATTTTGTGAGACTTTTTGCTTTATCGTCATTTGGGTTTGTTTTGTGTTTGTTAGGTTAGCTCGATTTTAGGGTTTGGGTAGGTGCTTTGTACAAAGTGACGATTTCTTTGAAAGAATTATTTGGAGGAGATTGGAAACCACCAGGGTACATTCTAACTTGTCACGAGTGTTCTTGACATTCCACTAGTTTTTCCATGTCTCGGCTGCTTAAACAAATTTCGACCTCGGATTTCGGTCATGGTGTAAAGTGGTTCTGGGTTGAACCGGCTCTGGAATGATGATTGAGACTTGTTGGGAACTATAGTGTATGTTTTAGAGTGTCATGCTAGTATAGGGTACATCTTGATTGGATTTCGAAGGGAACTAAGTTAGGCTAGTGTCGGGTTTGGTCATTTTTTCGGGGACTGCCATTTGCTGCTATTTGACAGGTGAACGTAGATGGTAAGAGAACACGCTACTTTGTAGAGCAGACATTCTCTTTCGCATGGTTATGATTTCGATGTGAGCATGAGGATTTGGACATCTGAAATTTTTGGTTGAAAAAAGGACATTTTATGGGAACCTATAGTGCTCCATGGTCACAGGGCAAGAGCTGGTGCCGTCTGCTGATGTGAAGGGCTTGTTTCTGTGGCGTCCACAAATTGGTTGTGTGGATGGATTGCAGGTGTGACGCGCTGCTTTCACTGGCGGAGCCAGAGGATGGAATCAGGAGGGCTTTTGGATTATCAGAGGCCATTTGCTACCGTGATTTATTTTCCACTTTTGAAATCGTTGCTGGCGTCATCAAGTAGGGCTTCCGTTGGTTGAGGAAAGCGGTGCGGTCGTACTGCTGCAGCGTTGATGACGTAACGATTTTTCGACTTTGTCGGCTAGCGGTGGTGAATCAGCTTTTCGATTCTGAGCTCATAGGGTACGCTGCTCGGATCGTTTGAAGCCGAGCTCGCATACATTATGTTCCGCGGTTTCGTTTGAAGAACCGCTGAATAGCTTGCGGTTTTATGCACATTGCGGCCACGTGGATCGGTGCCTCGATGTTGGGCTGAGGCCGTTAACAACCAGGATTTCCAGTTGCTGGATTTCGACGTGTCGATGGGATTGATGCACGGTTCGTGCTTTTGTGTTCTTAAAGATTGCCTCTTGCTATCTAGGGCTGATTCGCTGTCTCCGTATTTTTGGCGCACCTGGATTTACATCGGGAAGTCTTATAGGTTTAGTGACAGAGTAGGCGAGTGAAGGCTTGTGCAGGTTCTTCAGGATCAGCCATAAGCATCGGTAGACTGGCCCGCTTGCCCTACATGTCTCTGGGTCAATATTAGCTTGTAGTAGGGCCGATCATTTTGTGTGTCAGTCCATGGAAGTCGCTCGCCAGTGATCTCGGTCGCTGCTACTTGGACGAGTCAACGCACGATTGGAATACTTAGGGTGCGTGCGGAGGATGAGTAATTCTACACACATGGTACGAAGAAAATTCAAGACGTGGTACATGGTACTTTTTTTCTTTGAAGCAAGAAAAGAGCGAACAGAAAAGAAATTCGAAAGGTCATATTGATGCAACTTTAGCAATCTTCCCGGTTTGTCTTTAGGAACGGTTTCTAGGAACCCTCCTTTCCATCAGAATCTATCTCGAAGACCTTGCCGTGCGATTACCAATTTTTTCTTGAATGCAGCATGTGAGTCTTACTATCAGTCCACCTCTTGATGGAAGGGCGGTGGTGTTTAGAGGTACAAAATTCATAGTCTAAGTGAATGCAAACTATGGAATGCCCGCCTGAGAAAATTGAGATTCTTGGTCCCGTTGAATTTTCGGCTTCGAGGTGAGTCTATCCAGCTGAGTTCTCGCGCGGCGTTTGCCCTGTGTCTCTCTGACGCGCGGTGTCTGCCGACGAAACGACGCGAGGATTACCGTTGCGGGCGAGTCAACCTTGCGTGCGCCAGTCGCACGGCGTGAGGATCCTCAAGCACGCTGTATGAGCGGAGACGCAGCGGCTCAGAGCATACGGGTGAATGTTACGCGCACGGAACGTGTCTATCGGCGCGAAACTGCGCAACGTGGCCGTTTGAAAAATGCGCGCAGGGGTGCTTGGGTTGGGCGCTGACAGGGCTGCGAGAGCGACGCGGGTACTGGCATTGCTAAGTCGCTGGGCGCATACCCTTCGCTAGAAAATGCGTTCTCATCGCACCTTCAGTGGCCCGCCTGAATTCCGAAAAGGTATATTTCCCCTTCTTTGGCCTCCGGCCGGAATTCTCTTTCGACGGAGTGCTTACTTATTGTATGTGTGTTGGGGCAAAATGCTACACAGTGCGTAACCACATTTCGCAGTCATTCCTTTGCACACTTTTTGGTAAAAAAAATGTCACTTTACATCATTTTGGTTTTTACATCATTTGGTTGAGCACACATTTATTCTTCGCAGTGATTCGATTGACGTTGAAGTTTCTTTTTTATGCTATCGAATCCGCATGACCGTGTATTGACTGTTGAACTTTCTTTTTCTCACGTTTCATTCCCGTAAAATTTCGTCGATAGATCCGCCCTAAAGAGGTAGTTCGTTATGCATTGTTGATAAGCCGAAATTACTCAACTCAGTTGTTTTTGTTCTGATGATTTATTTCTTGGAATTAAAGGCAGTGAACACGACGCTTTTGGGGTGGAGCGGTTTCGAGGATGTTATTGGTCGTCATTGGTTAACCAACCCCAGCGCGCTGGAGGCGAGTTTTGAACTACCTCCCAACGCTACCAATGACGCCATCGAAAGCGCTCCGCGTCCTCGCCACCGCTTTCACTCCCTTCTCAAATAACAACTGCCATGCAAAAAGTATGCGGCGTGACCAAGAAAGCTCGCGTCTTTCGGCAAAAATGATTTATTTATGGTTTTCTGGGTCATTCTAATATTTTCGTCCATTATACGTTAAGTACTGCTTATCCTTCAGGGTCAAAAGTCAACTATTCGGAATCGGATAATAATCGGATAATCGGGTAATTAAAGGCAGTGAACACCATGGCTGAAGGGAGGAGCGATTGTGATGAAGTCTGTGAGCGTGATCGGTGGAAGTTGAGTTGGGAGGTGATCCCAGTGAAACTTCCACCGCGCTACAGCCCTGGTCAGTCTACGACGTCCAATGACATCATCGTGACCGTTCCACTCTCCATCCATTGCGTTCACTATTTTTAGATCAGGGTCTTTTACCTACTGCTACGGTAAAAAAGTGTAATTTACAAGTTTTAACACCATCTTCCCCTATTAAGGCCATCGATCGAAATTCAAGAACCAGCATCGGATATCCGTGATGACGTCATCGAAATGGCAGGCTCTAAAGATGACATTCGTGATCGTCCAGTAGATGTGGTAAGTCTGAATGTGTAACAGTAATGCGAATTTCTTCTGGATATTCAATGGCTATTCTTGAAGATACCTGTTGTGCAACAACGCCGAATTGCAGGGCACTCACGTGCAAGCGTTAGAACCGGTTGCTGAACTACCTCAATCACCAGCCCCGTCGGCCAAGTCAACTCCGCATACAACACCGAAGACGAGCATGAAATTCAAAAAAGTAATGCTTGTTTTTTTTTCGTCTCTTACCCGAGATCTGATCTGATATCCAACAATTTTCTCCAAAAATTCCATCCTTATGAATCCAAGTTCAGATTTGTGCCGCTTAGCTTACCATTTTCAGGATGGCAAAGAGATGAAGCCATTTGAATTCGGTAAAAGCAAATTCAGCTCGAAACATGAAGTCGTCAAGCGAGGAAAGGACGTTGAGGTATCGCACTTCATTGAAATTTTATTTTTTTTAACTGCGACCTATGGGTCTTTCTGAGGGGGTGGGAGACAGGAAGAGGTTAGCGCCAAAGGTAGAATAGTTTCGGGGAAAGCGAGGCCCAATCGCTCTTCAGTCGACGTCATAGGGGGCTGGCTGCCATTTCACGTTTCCTGTTAACTTTTTGCTCAACTATTTTCACTTTACAATGTTAGTCTTTTTATGGAGAACCTATCGATTGCCCATGTACGTACAGAGCACAATACAATTCCCGTTTCAGTAGAATAATCACATCAAAATCAAAAATTCAGTAAATTGAGCTATAGAAAATAGACAGTAAGACGAAAATTCTCGCAATACTATTTGAATGGTATTGTATATGTTAAATGGCGCCCCGCTGCGGCACGCGGCAGTTGGTAGCGATTATAATCATGACTAGTTTCCACTCGCATTAAACTATTTCCATGTTCTCATCCATGTTTTTAAGCTCATTTTATTTCAGGTCAAGCTTGAAAATCTCAAACTAGGCAAGGAAGATGCACTGCGTGTTGTAGTATTACGTAAGTGGAACAATTATGCATATCGGAGACACTTTAAGTCCGATTCATGAGCCCTTCTTCAACAAATAGTCTTTTAGCCCCAATGCGCAATCAAATTGTTGCGTCCGGAGCCACTCAACCAGAAGTGGAAACGAAAGTGAAGAAGAGCGGCAGTAAATATGAGATCTCTTTCAAGCCAACAGAAGTCGGAACACACAAGGTTTGCCGAGATTTTAGTTTTCTTTTCGTTTTGGCAAAGTGAATTAAGCAGCCATGCGTAAGAGTTCCATTGTACCTGTTGAAAATTTTAAGGCCTAAAGGTAGGGATCGCGATGTCTGAAGATTTGAATTGTTCACTCGGGAATATCTGGCAACAAGTTTGTTGAGAATCACATCATTCTATCACTAACAACGCCGTCCATCTGTATTGCGAAAGAAAACACGTATCTCGAAACCGGCACAGCGCCACGCCTTGTTGTGAATTAGTGAAAACAGAAGGGAGTAGTTTTCTTGACATTCGTCGAATAAAAGTAAGCAGCTAATAGAACAGTTGAGAAGCTAACTATATTGAGTTGTCTCAATACTATAAACGTCGCACAGATATGCCTTCACTCCACTGGACAGCTTTTGAATCTCTAGAGCCCTGTATTCGTTAGAGAGAGTACATCCAAGAGTATAGAAGTGACTACTCTCTGGCCACATAATTTTTTTTCTTTTTGATTTTTCTCTTCAAAGGAGACTAACCGATATTCGCGAGTGTGCATGCGAATGTTCTACGTTATTTTGAGGAGCTGAATCCAGCTCACGCGGCTAGGAAAGAGTTCCGCAAACAAAAAAATCCCTACAAAAAACCGTTCATTGGCTCGGCAAGAAAGAAAAACAATGATTTCCTAAACTCACTTCGCAACTATTAACGTACTCAAACGAAAAAAAAAATCAACAAAAAAACTGCGAGGTCGGACCGGAGACGCTTCCTGCGTGAATATTCTTATATTTTTCTCGATTTTTATCTCCATTATCTTTCGTTCGATTTTTTATTCAGAAAACTGCCCATCATGGCAATTGTATATGGTGAAAACTCGAAATTTTGCTTTCGAAAGGTGCTAAATTTTTTCTATATACTCCTTTTCAAAAATTGAACGCTGCTAGAAATACCGCAGGGATTGCGGCGTCCGTGCAGTTTTTGTTCCATCTCTATACGAGCTGAGCTTTACTATAATGAAAAAGCTTTGTTTTACTGATAAGAGCGCTGGTGTTTTCCAAATCACGTTCTCACTCAACACTTCTTGAGGCCTTATAATTGCTAACTTATCTCCGTCTTCCGTTTCCGGAATGCTAACACTTTTCCCCTCTCCATTTTACTCCGATTAAATCTTTGAATACCTGTTTTACTCAGTATGGATTAGTACACTTCATATGTTCGGTTGTCCTCAGAAACAGTACGTGCTGAGGCTCAAAACTAGGGTGCTGGTATTGGCGTCATTGGTATAACGGCGTAGGAGCACAACCTCCAGGAATATTTATTAGTTCTATGGAGGGTAAGGGCGGAAGAGGTGTAGTGGCAAGTGGCACGCTTACCACGCGAGCGGTCCGGGGATCAAATCCTGGGTCGTCACTCGCCTGGGCCAACCAAGCCCCCCATCCTTCTGGATCGACTAATTGGTACCAGATTTTCTGGGATTTCAAAAAAAAACACTGACTTGTACATCGGCCGGCCCGGCAAGTCATTGTATAGGCCCATCGCATTCAAACGCCACTACGAATGTTCAAATGGAATGGAATGCGTGCCGCATCCCATAAAGGGATTATTCGACGGCAAATGCTTCATTTATTTTCATTTATGGAGGGTGAAGATGGCACACTTCATAGAACTAATAAATATGGCATACAGACCGGAGCTGATGCTATAATAGCTGGCGTAACCCCTGCCTTTTAATTCGGAGAGTCTGTTGTCAAAGATACATTCACATACGAACTTCCATTGCTTTATGTTTCTTATTTCAGGTATTTGCATATGTGAATGAAATTCCGCATCCTTTGTCGCCGTTCCCAATCCGAGTTTACGATTCCTCGGAAATTATCGTTGGCGAAATTCCAGCTCGCTCTAATCTCAATGACACTGTTGAGTTTACTGGTGAGTCTATAACCCGTTCCGTCTACGATGATCGCGACCTTTGGAATAGCAAAGTTTAACCGATTCTAGTGGATGCTGGCCGAGCTGGTTTCGGTAATCTGGAAATGGCTATCAAGGACGCCGATGGAATTATCATACCATCACACGTCGCTCAATTGGAAAGCGGTACAGCTAAATTCCTCGTCACGTTTACACCGACATCGAAAGGACAACACACCGTCAATATTACATTCAATAAAGAAGTGCTAAAAAGTGAGGATTGGCACAAACTATTGGCTATGTAATAAAGTAGCTGTGGATAGAGTAAGAAAATCTGTTTCAGATTCGCCGTTCGAGGTGCTCATCACCGACCCTCCAGCTCCACTCAACGAGTCTGTAGATGGATCGGCATCACCATCGTTGTCCAAAAAAGATCTGAAGAAAGAGAAAGAGGATAAAAAGAAGGAAGAAAAGGAACGTGTGAAACGAGAAAAGGAGGAAAGAGCTGCCACGTTGAAAAGGGACAAAAGGGTATGCGGTTTGTTCGTTCTGAGTTTACTGGGATTAGATAGGCGTTTAGGTCCTTTAATTTTCAAATTTAGGATATATTGCAATGCACGGGGGCCTGTCTAGAAGTGTGCATTCTGGTCAAGTCTTGGCTACACACTTGAGTTAAGATTTGGGTTAGGCTCAAAACGCGCTTAAACTTTTATTTTCTGACTCAATGCCAGCGGTTTCATTTCTAAGCATTACGCTGTCTTTGATTTGCTCATACATATGTACTACTTTTCAGCGCTATCGCAAGATAGGGGGGGGGGGGCATCCAGGGCTAAACCGAACAGGGGGCAGTAACATCGGGAATGAAAAAACTGGTCGAGCAGTCTGGAGCCTCCTCTTTTCCACCTTAGGCTTAGTCCCATTTATGACCCCCGTATATTGCGATAGCGCCTTAAAACTATCTCTGCTCTCTTTCTTTCCTTTGGATAGCCTTGCCTTAGTGACAGGTGAAGCATGCGCTCATCTTTCTGCACTCTACAACACTATTTGACACGTTTAAACATACACGTTTAGACGCGTTAACGAAGTGTGGACAAGGGTTCACGAATGCTCCCGTATATTGTGATAGGGCTCAGATTTCTAGCATCATTCATTATCAGCATTATCATCACGTTATTTTCACGGGCATTCCCCCTCTCAAAATGGCACAAGTCGACTTTCACGAACCTCCATGACAGAGTCAACTGATGCCCGCAAAGGAATGATCCATTTGATTTACTGTGACTGCTGTCTAGAAGGGCATCATGGGTTCCGCTGCGATGTGTAGTTGTTGCGGTGTCACGTCACATTATCAGCCAGCTGATACAGCCCTGTTTCCATGCTTTGTTTCTGTCCTCTAGTTTTTCTAACTATCCTGTCATTCACGCATCACAACGCAATCAAAACACTTCACCATCTCCTAGTTTCCCCCAACTGAACCCGCCCTTTCTCCCGTTTCAAACCAATGTCACCATTTCAAGAATGCCTCTTCGTTTGTCTTTTCGTGTTGTGTTCATGAATCCTTTTGCATTATTCCGGATACAGTATATTCGATTTTACGGCTATGTGTTTTCATTTAGAGAAGGTAGAACTTGAAGGAATTTTTTTTGAAGTGCGGACCTTGACAATCTGGAGTAATTTGACGTTATGTTCTAAGCACTTCAAAAAGGCCCGATTTGAGCATTTTTCAGCCAACTGAGTCGGTGAATCGAACTTATTCTTTTGATCATGCAATCGAGTACCTCTGAGTATGCACTGTAATAGTCACTTGCGATAGGAGCGTACTTCTGTGATTCAGTACTTGAGGAACTTGAAAAGCTCCTCTGTCTTGAAGCTTGAGCTCCTCTGTCTTGAAGCGCTATTAGGCTTCTTTGCGTCGGTTCAAACTCTGAGAGTGGGGAGTAAAAATGGGCGCTATCGCAAGCACGGGGCGTTATGGTGGCAATACATTTGAAACTGCATGAAATATTTTCTTTTTGTTGAAAACGGGACAATGCTTTGGGTTAGAGAGGAGAGACTCCAGGGTGGTGAGCAAGCTTCATTTTCTCTTGAGTTCCTGCCTCCATCTAGGCATATTCTTGGAGGATGCCCCTATAACTTGCGTAGCGCTCGTCTTTCACGAAATTCTGTTCATATCTCCACAACTCGAGGAGGCAACTGGTTCTTGCCGTTATATAAACCCGCTCGGAACGACTTTGAGAGAAAAAACTGCTTTACGAGATTTTTTACAAGGTTTAATTCCTTTCACTGATCAACTGTTCACTGTGGGGTGAGCTCGGATCGACCCACCGTCCCCTATTCCTTCGCATTCATCTCACATTCACCGCATCACACCTCATTGACTTTTAGAGCAAGCATAAATCCGTGTCGAAGACGTCGGTCACGAAGATCCCTTCATTGTCGCGAGTTGGTCAACCGTCAAGCATCATCGTTGAGGTGGCCGGACACGACCAGCTAGAGATCATTATAACTGGTACGTTACTTCTCCCTAACATCGTTCTGATATTTATTGTCCATTTTTTTCTATCCATATGCTTTTTTTTGTTTTTCGTGCGCAATTTTAATGGCTTATTAATGTTTCAGTTTTAGTGTAAGCGTGAAATGTCTCAAGTAAGTTCGGCCATCGTACCTTGTCCCAAGTCCCGTGAGAGTGCCAGTGTGTGACAGTGTGCGAGAAAAGAAAAGAATGGATCTTGTTCAGTTTCTCCTAGTCCTAGTTTTGTTATTTAAATTTTGGGGATTTTAGACAATAAGAAGAACCAGATCGGTACTGAGATCATTGAAATCGAACCCGGAGTCATGCAAGTGAACTTCACGCCACAGGTGGTCGGTAAGTAATATGGACTTTGGTGATTTCAACCATACCCACTTTACTGCTCATCATGGCTGAGCATCATTCCAGGTGACCATGACATCGAGGTGAAATACGGTGGCGTACCAGTGACTGCCATCCCGTTCACATGCAGAGCATACGATCCAACTAAGATCAAAGTTGGAGCTATTCCGAAGGGTCTTCTGGACAAGCCGGTCTACTTCACAGGTAATTGAACAAGACATATTTGTTCTGTCTGCGAAACAGATCCTTGCTAGCAGACACCTGGGGCAGTCTTCCCTTCATAGCGCCTCTTGAAGTTATGGAACCGTTTATGGATGCTATAGAGAGCGTAATTCACGGGGTGCATAACCGGTTATGCCCACCATGACGTACACACACGCTGAGCAGACACCCGCTACATCTGTCGTTCTCTCATAAGGTTGTCGCGCTTTAACTAACATTTGTCATTTTACGAAGGACCTCAGTCGGAATGACCTGCTTCAACCTCTAATCTCCTCTCTGGCACCGAATATACCTCACTCTTACAACTAGCGACCCGCTCTTCCAATGACTGTCACGCGATTACAATAGGTCCTCATTCACACGTTGAGGACAGCGTGACGCGCGTGCGCGTCAAATTTTCGCGCATGTGCATTTTTGTGCAATTTACTTGGATTTTTCCATTAGAAAATTTTCCATGTCTGCATCGTTAGATCCGGAAATCAGTGTACTCATTACCAATAACGAAATTATTGAAAGAGTAGAGCTGGTTTTCAAAAACGTCAAAAAGGTGCCGAGGATCATGCACAACGGGCTGTTGTCAATGTGTTAAAATGATACTTATTGATTAGTTCATAACGCTGCCGCACTACTGGACGCATATTTACTAGTGGTTTTTTAGCAGTAGTATAAATTTATTACTCATTACGTTTAGTGGACGCGTCCGAAGCCGGCGTTGGTAATCTGGAAGTGGCTGTGAATGACGGTCGCGTGCCATCAATGGCACATGCGCTTGGTCAACATCGCTACGACATCTCATTTGTACCAAAAGAGAGTGCTGATCACACCATCACAATTCGTTTCAACAACGAACCTGTACCTGGTTAGTTGTTTTTGGGCTCGTTTACAGATTGGGGAATCTACTGGGCGCCTTCAGGCAACTGGAGGATGCACAGAAAGGCACGTTTCGGTCTTAGCTTCGAAATCATTCCAATAGGCAGTGTGGAGCTCGTATCTTAAAGTACCGCATCTGTGTTTTCCCTGTGAATCACTCTGTTGACGTTTACATCATGTAATTTTCGGTGATCATGGCTGGAGGGCGGCGCGGTTAAATGACGTCATTGGACGCCATTGGTGGACTAGACTCCGCAGCGCGCTGAGGGTGCGGATCAGATCCAAAATTTTCAATCGCGCCCTGGCCAGAAGGACCCTAGGTCTCACCATATTCCTAGCTGTGCCTGAGAACATATTTGCTATGAATAGATTTGCAACAAAATATCGCATTGATCGATTTAATAAGAATTAACGTTTTCACCTCGAGAAAAGTCACTACGTTAGTTTACGAAGTTTTACGTTAGTTTTTTGCGGTACATCGTAACTCGATCTGAGTTTTCTTCAGAATTTTCTGATCTCGCATAATAAACAGTGATTTCACGTCAAAAACGTATTAATTTCTCTCACATTTTCCTTCTGCCCTTCTCGTTGTAAATTGCCATCGATTTCGTGCATTTCTTATGAAGTCCAAATAACTACATTCTGATAAGGACTAAGCAACCAACTCGCTTTGATAGACAGATCGTGAGGTCGTAGAATTTCATAGGAATTTCTGAAATTGTTCCTCGTACTGGGGATAGCTTCAGAATGTCACCGCTCCCAAAGTCCTTGTTTAGGATCGCCCTTCACCTGTCATCTTGTGTCTGCTGCGCAGGCGTCAGCTTCCGGTACAGGACTCGAACGAGTTCCAGTTGATGAACTTACTGAGATCAAAATTCAAACGAGTGGTTTGTTTCTATTTCAGCGCGGATTTTGCTGTTCGCCTTCCCATTAGAGAAGGGTTTTTATGAGGAGTTTGTCACAATCATGCTTCGTTACAGCATCCGATGCGCAGCCAGAGGTCCGTGTCCGTGATCCCCAAGGCAATGACCTTCCCGTGGAGATTACACGTAGTCGACAAGACGAGACGCTTTACATCGCTACGTACACGCCAAAATGCGTCGGAAATCATCAGGTAGAAAATGGAGTTATGTGATATTATAAGTAGTGACTGTGCTATGTACCTCTTGAATACAGTGAATAGAAGTCGGCGTTGATTTTAGTATGTGTGCCAGACAAGGGGTACCTGCAGGAGGCCTGTTGTGCTGCGAGAAGGCAGAGACACAGGGAGATCGGCGGACGAGTCGCAGCGCTTACTGTGTGATGTGGATAGTACTGTAGTGCATTCTGTTGAAGTTGACGCTAAATCCCTGCAGTAAGCACTGCGACTCGTCCGCTGACCCGTATGCGTCTCTGCCTTCTTACCGCGAGAATGACCTACTGTCAGGTACCCGCCGGAAGAGCACACTGAGCACTGCGCGCGGCAACAGTGCGCGACAATTAGTGTTAGACCGAGCCTGCTAAGAGTGTGCCAACACGTCTGAATGGCGCATAGAGTCGTGTTGTTTATGCTGATATTGCACATAAATACCACCATTTACCTAGAATGGCGGTAACCCTACCTAGCTTAAACTTAACCCTAATTCAAGCCCAATGCTTAGGGTTCGATTAGGTTGGATTAGGTTAGGACAGGTCATGAATGCCCAAACAATCCGTCTCTCCATCAGTTCGGTCATTTGCTTGATCGCAACATGATCACATCTTTCTATAACTGACACGGAATGTTGTCGCACGCGGCGCGCTGTGTGTGCTTTTGACACCAACCTTAATCACGGATAGAAAGGTGTGAAAAACAGGGAAGGTATTTAACGCATTTTCACTTCCTCACTTCTTCATATTCATCAGATCAATAGAAAGTTAAAAGGCTTCCCACTTTCCAGCTTCACTACTACTGAAATGTTAAATTCTCTGATTCCTTTCTCAGGTTGACATCTCGATGATGGGTGAACCGATCGCTGGTTCTCCCTTCACTGCGAAGGCCTACGATGCTAGAATGGCTCGTCTCAGTCAATGTGACCAAGCTATTGTTGGGAAACCTTGCACGTTTGCCATAGGTATGCTAATCATCTTGCTCGTGATATTTCAAGGCAGTTATCACGATGGCTTGGAGGCGGCGCGGTTTTGATGATTCATTTTTTGGTGAACTTCATTGTTATTGGTGAACTGGACGTTCAATGGCGGCATCAAAACTGCACCGGCCCATCCTCTTCCCCGAGTCATCGCGATCACTGCCTCTAAGTTGCTACGCCTTAATAGGCCCATTCTCATGTTCACTTCGATCAAGAATTTTCGCTGCTTCAATAACCGACAGCTTGCCCCTTTTCAATGGACAGTAAGCTCGCATTTTGCATTCGAAGCTCGTTTAAAATGAGTACCATGCGAGGAGCATGGCTTGGTCGGCATGATTCATCGATTTATTGATTCACATAGCGTCGTGGCCAGGGTAAACCGTGCGTTGAGTAGATTTCAAAAATTTAACGACCCCTCTCCGCATCTCCGATCACCACCCTCACCGTGGCTGTTTCTATAGTACATCTTTGATTCCATTTGATTCTGCGACCAATCGACACAGCCCAACCCCGCCCACTTTTTCCCTCCAAAACGGCCGTCACGCGTAGGTGGGGCGGGGGGGGGGCTAAACTGTTTCTAAACATGTGGAAAATCCCCTATAATTTTCCCTACTGCTTGCTTCTTTCATGAAGTTTTCGCAAAATCGTCACAAAACCCATCACATAGCTTCCAGAAATATGACCACCTCCTCACCAATCGACACAGGACAGCCTTCACAACCAAAAGTACAACCTTCTCCGAAAAAAAAACCCAAATGCGACCCGTTCGTTGAGAACTGCGCAACATACGGTTGACCCTGATAGCCCTCCGCGTCCATAATAGAACACTTACGCGAACTGAAAAATTCACTTGTAGACCTTGTTGTGAAATTAGACGTTATCGAGACATTAATTATTTGCCTTGACAGATGCCGCTCGAGCTGGTGCAGGTAACATGGAAATTATTGTGTCCGTAGACAACAGGAACGTACCTAACTTTGTTCAGGCAGAGGGCCAAGCGAAATTCAAGGTGACGTCTTGGTGAACGTATCTACTGATTTTTCAAACCACTTACTACTTTTAATACAGGTTTCGTTCACACCACAAGAAGCTAAGGAGCATGTGATCAGCGTACGATTCAACGGTGTCAGCGTGCCAGGTGAGGCAAATCGGGGTCGTACATAGTCCACGCAGGCTTGCCCTAACCTGTTAGCGATGACATAAGTCAGCATCTCACAAACCGCACCGCTCAACTCAAAAGAAATCCTCATCGGTGACCGCATAAAGCTTTTGCTTGACCCATATTTCACGGGCAAACTCATGCATAATTCAATTGTTTGCGTTGCGGTTTGTGGTAGGGCCCTGAAAAGCTTAGAAACTTCGGGTTCTAATTCATCCTTGGGGTAATCTCATAAGTGTATATCACCCATTTTATTTCGCTTTCCTCAATACCTCTGTTATTCTTGAGGTTCTCCTATGAGATGTATGGTGGAGAACGCACCGGCGACATCCACGTTGGCTCCTTCTGTCTCGTCGGCACTTACTGGTACCTCACCTGAGTACAGTATTGATAAGTCATCTCTAGCAAAGGATCTAAGGAATGCGCAGGTACTTTTTTCTTATATTGGATTCGGCTGCTAAGACTTGTGTGGAATTGAACAGCTAATCGAACAGCGCATTATTTGACTAACATCGAGTGCATGGCACCTACTTGACATTAAGAGTCCCTTGAAGCTCTTTTGAGTTTTCTCCTTTTAAAACCATTTGAAAAGATTTTTCTGGTATAGATGGGATTCTTCCCAGCATTTTCCGCCCTTTTTGATCAATGGCTCGTATCTTTGTTAATTATATTCAGCGATCCCAACATCGCTCACAAGCCCACAATCTCTTGTAACTTCTGATATACGGTTCTTTTTATATATATTCCAGTATAAAGCTCACATGTGAGCAAAAACGTTTTTCCAAAAGTGCTTGTAGATCGATTTGCAGTCGGCCATGCATGTGCTTGTGACCAACGAATCCTTTGGCTCCAGGTTCATACTCGGCGAAACATTCATGACTTGTTCTGGCCCCTTCCTGTGCTTCACTTAATCCAAAAAACCATCCGTTTTTCCTTGTCGCATCTTCATGGTGCTGCCGTGCGCGACGAGACTGCGCGAAAGCTAATCGTTCTGGGAATGTCGCGCAGCTCTCGCGCGCGCCGAGCGGCATTCTTACATGCTACGCGGTACCTATTCTCGAAGCACTCTTCACAAGCGTACGTAATGAGCGTGACAAATCTTCGCGGAAGTGGATTGCTCCCGCGCAGTTTTTGAGCGCGACGAGCGGCATTTTGCTTGGTGCGCAGCGTATACCCTTAAAGCACTGCCGAAAGTACAATCTGGAAATACAATATTCGGTTATAAATGTCTTTGGCTGAATACAGCGATAGAAACTGTTACAGGTCGGACAGAAGCGTGGTTTCACGATAGCGAATCCAGGTGGTCGAGCCGCTGAGTGCAATGTTGTCGTCATAGGTGAGTGAAACGCTTCACTTCCTGACAGATGGTTGTTGCATTTCTGAATTTTGTGATCGACTATATCGTTTGCAACAACCATTTGCTGCTTTCTCACTCAATGTTGGTTGTCCCTCGGTTTGCTGCGCTACGATGTTTTGGGTTGTGGGTGGTTCTGTTGGTTTCTGTTTTGTGGGGTTGTGTGTCATGTGTGTGGTCTGTGTTACGTGGTTGTCCCCATGGTGCAGCTCCAAATGGCTCAAAAGTTCCAACAACCACTACTACTACTGGAAAGGAATCATTCTATGCAGAATTCACGCCGACAATGAAAGGTTCGTTGCTTTGATCTTCAAGACTGGCTCAGATTAGGCGGTTTAAGTAAGCATTTTCAGGAACGCATGAAATAAATATTTACACTGATAAAGAGAAATTGAATGAAATGCCTATACTGGTGGTTGTGGGAGCCGGAAGGGCGTCTTTTCCATCAACCTGTCTTGTGGGAAGGCGGTACTCATTTGACAGTAAGTAGCAATTTCGTCGTGGTCTCATACTGATATTCAGTCTTAATGCGCTTTTCAGTTGAGGCTGAAAATAAAGACTCCGTGCGAGTGGATATTCGTGATCCTCAGGGACGACTACTTCCTGTACAGATTGAACAATTGCCTGACAAACACGTTCGAGCTTCATGTCGTTTCAGAGAGGTGAGATTTTATCAATTGTAAATCTTTAATTCGAATGCCTTTTTCGCGCTAGATGTGTGGGCGGAGTTTATTGGAGAACTGCGTCCTCCTCATTAGTGGGCGCTGAGCCCTTGCCATTTTGAAAGGGCGTTCTACTTCATTTAATTTCGCCCGCATGATCAAGATGGAATACACATAGCTTCCAAGATGAGTGCTAGTTGCGAGCACATCTGGCCAGGTTTCCTTCAAGCGTTATAACTAAGTTGTCGTCTATTGCAATTATTGCGTCTAACAAGAAAAAACTTGTTCATGTTTCCGTAAACAGTTTTAAAAACCCGAGAGACTGTTACGCGACCGAATTCCTGCCGTACATCTGTCACAAATGTTGGAGTCGGAAGGGACTGTACATAGTTCTCGGAGTGCCTTCACTAGGAATCCTTTTAACCTTCTCTTCCCATGGCAGTAACATTTCTTTTTTCTATTGCTTTCTACTTCAATTGTTAGTCTCTATTCTCTAAGTTCGACCCTTTACCCGACTCCTTCAAGCGTCGTCTGAAAGTTGGCCACTCCGAAGAGCGCTTCTTTCCATGAGTTCCATTCTTTCCGCCCAACCTACCCTTGACCGTCCTTAGAGTGTGGTTCTCATTTTTTTTGTAAACTGGATCTTTTCGCGTAAAACTTTGTACTTTGTCGCTAGTGATCACAACTGTCTATTCATGTTGGGAAAGAATGCAGAATTTTCCGGAAACGATTCCTTTAAAATGAGTTTCGAAATAATAGTACGCTACGTTGAATTCGGCGATGACCTTTTTTCACATGTGTTTCCAACATTTGTATTAGGTTGTAGGGAAAGTTCTCGCGGATTTTTCGAAGCACGACTTGAGTTGAGTTGAGCTTTTTTGAATCGAAGCCAGAAAAGTTCTTTGCCGAAGGCATCAAAAGCCTGCCAAAAAATGGCGAAGAGTGATAGAACGTGATGGTGATTACTTTGTTTCCTAATATGTTTTCTTGTTGATAAAAAATTAAGGTAATGATATGTGCCAAAAACCGCGAGAACTTTCCCTACAACCTATTACTTGTGGAATAGTTCGCTACCACTAAACCTCTCAAGGTCGCTATTACACGGTCAAAAAATTGTGCCCAGTTCTGTCACCAACTTGAATGAAACACCTCTCTGTGGGTTGGCCGAACTGCAATTTACTCTTCACCCCCCCCCCGTCTTACCATAGCGGTGTCGACGTGTGTCGGTTATACCACAGCCTTGAAGAGATGAGGCCTCAAGGGCTAAACTCAGCGTTTATGTTCCGTGTCCATCTCATTAGTTCACGTCCTTCGCCCGCTGCAAGGGAAACTGATAAATTGTCTCGCATTACAATGTTATGATTTGAGCTAACTCAAGAAGAAGTAAGCCGCATGTGGCTTTCTAATCTGATGCCATGAATGCCTGAAAAGCCAAAGAATTTACTTTAGAGTAGCCCAGAATAGCTGTCTTACTCCCCACCCACCTCCCTCCACGAAGCTACGTGATAGGAAAATGAGCCCTGCAATGTGGTTTTTTTTGGATTTTAAAGCAAATTTTTATAATTACTTTATTGTAAAAGTTTCTCCTCGCTCGAAGGTCCTGCTATCTCTCTCAACCCTCTGCGAACGGCCTTTATTGCACTCTTCTCCTATCTTTTTACCGACTCCTCATTAGTGGGCTATTCATCCATCAAATCAATTAAACATCCTTGCAGTGATAATATGAACGTAGTCTCATTTCCAAATACGCGTTACAGATAAAATTGCGAAATGAGCCAAGTAAGGTGATTCTACTTTATGTGGCCGCGTGCTCCACATGGTGGTGCACGCGGCCATATAATGGGTATGGGTTTGTGGATTGGTGAATCAGGAGGACCTTCAGTTCTCGTCCTAGGACAGGTCACTAGAGCTGCGCAATGATTGAAGTCTCAGAATAGGAATGGCTTAGTCTTGAGCATAGGCTTATTACTACAGATTGACTTATGCTTATGTCTTGGGTTAGGAAAGGCTTAGATTAAACTTTTCTACAAGAACGTAGGAGGTGTCCTAAGTGTAGCTCATGTAGCTTCACCCCAAGCAGCCGATTGCTTTGCACCTTTGCACCGCATATTTACTAGAAGACAGTAGTGATGTTTTGAAGGCGCATCCCGCATCCAATTATTTTTTTGTACGTTTTGTCCATCACCCAAGTTGTGTGCTTTCGAACTGTTGTTGGCAGCAATCCAACTAGTTCTTACGTTCGTCTTCCATGATATTGTGGTCGTCCTTGACGGCAGATCTAGGGTACGGGTGCAATTCGATTTTGAATTGGCTACTGTTCGCGTTGCATTCCTATTAGCGCGGCGCTATATCGTTCACTTATTGGCGTAGCTATTGAGGACTTTCCTCGGTCGGGAATAAGCTTTCTGATACACCAATAAACCCTTTAAAATGGCAAGACTGATTGAATATTGGCAAGATTCTCTATGAACGTGTGATTGCAGGTTGGTACACATACGGTTGAGACGTTTGTGTCGGAACGCCCAATCGGAGACCGGGTTCAACAACGGGTCGTTGATGCAGTGAATGCTGTCCAACTTGTATCCGAACTGAAAAAAGAAGTGGTCAGTGAACGTGCCGAGCACAAGATACTAATCGTATCCGGTCTCGAAGAAGAAGTTGACGTCACGGTCCGAGGTAATTCTTTTTCGGCATATGATTTGTTCACCACTAAGTTTCACTGCAATGTATCATTTCAAATCTACAGTTTCCAGATCGCGATCATAACGTTCAAGTCGTTACACTAGCCAAAGTCTCTGATACGCTTTGGACTGCTTCATGGTTACCAAAGGTGATTACGTTTAGAGGCACATTTCACATTCACATAAAGAAGGGAACCATTGTCTGAGAAAGGTAGACTGACTTGCAAACAGCTTTCCTTATATCAATTCTGTGCGTGGCACGAACTTGTGAGGCAGGGCCACTGGACCCATCACTGCACTCGCGGCTAAATTTCGTGCCATTCCCGGTATCCGCGTCTCGCTCTTCTCTATGCTCTCTCGCCTCCCAGACTTCTATAACCTCGTCCTTGCGTGCAGTGTTTCTCTGCCGTAAACTCACACATTTTCTAAAACATTTATGAGGGCTTATTTCTGACGCTTTCGACAGTTTCTTTTGCATCATGTCCTGTGCCCCTTCCCACTAATATCCTACAGTTTCATTTTTGAACACCACTACTCAAAATCTTGTATGGAAAGACGGCTAATAGGCTATATTTTGTTATTATATGGACACAGAGTGCTCCGGAACCCTTTGGAAACGTGGAAACGATTATTTTCCAAACACACAGCCCTAACAGCTCTGGAAGCGATTGAACTCTTATTGACATGAAGCGTAACCGCAAGGTGGATCGTCCTTAGGAATAGGGACAGTTCTGGCAACTTTTTTGGCGTTACGCTTTTTATTTCTTATCAAGCTTGTTCGTTTACGTACACAAAGGCTATCATTTATCTTCCACGGTCATCAAACAGATGTCGCGTTTCTATAGCCTTCCCAAAATCTTTCTTAAATATTCCCTTGCTTTAACGGAATTTTGAATCGACTTAACTAATCTCAATTGTAAAACTAATTAGTAGTTGAGCTAAAGGCAAAATTGGGCGTAATAAGCAAGATTTCGAAAGTGTCAAAGGTGTTCTGCATTTCCATAAGAGTTCCCGGCTTCAACATCCCGGAGTTATTCCGTCCCTCAAAGGTTATCTCCTGCCCTTCGTAGTATTGCGAACTACGATTTATTTACTATGCACACCACTTATGCAAGTGTTTCTTTACAATTCTCACTGTGAACGGATAAAATCATTCGACGCCGATCAACCATTTCTTGGGACGCGCCACACATTCTGCTTCTACTCAGAATCGTAGTAGCGCTTGAATGCGATTTGGTCTGACCAATGACTTGCGTCCAATGAACAAATCGGTGTCTTTATGCTACCAGGGGTGCAAAGCTAACTGATTGGGGTGGGGGACTAGGCCTAGTTACTTCGGGAAAAATCAAGCAAGGATTTGATCCTCGGAACGTACGCGAATATGGTGACGCCACTTTCTCCTTTACCTCTCCATCTCCGCCCTATTTTGGAATTTTTTCTGTATCCTTCACTTTGTTTTGCTTCTGAGGACGACGATTACATCAAAATGTTAATAGGTGACGGAAAGAATTGCTCCACATAACAACTTAGTGAGGCACAAAACAACTAACGCACTTACGACTAAACTTGATGACTTATTCGGAGCCTGAAAACCGAAAAGGAACATACCCGTTAAAGCGCGGTTTTGGCTTTGAGAAATTATTGCATAGATCAAATATGGCAGCAATCATAATATGGCAACAAATAAATAAATCAGTATGTAAACAAATAAGTGATACACTTCGTTAATCAGTCTTGCTCACAAACCTATTACTGGACAAGTTTGAAGCAGCCAGCAATGTCTATCAACATTGATCAATGCGTTTCTTCTATGCGCCACGCAACCTATTTCTTTCCGGAATCGTAGTAACATTTGAAAAGAATTTGACCTATGCAGTGAATTATGGTTGTGGAACCGTCCATTATAGTCTTAAGTCGGTGATTTTATCCTCCCACACAAGTCTGGCATTAACTGTCGTACTTCGGAGCAGGGAAACTTGATCGACTTGAGCGATGTAGAACCGGGATTCAAACCCTGAACCCTGCGTGGGGTAGGTGGTCACCTGTGAGTATATCTCTTCATCTCGTTGAAGAACAAACTATGCATATCGAGTTCATCTGGAAGAATCGAGGATTCAGAGTTGAATGTGCTTAAATTTCGCATATTTAGTCCGAAGGCGGTCACGAATTGGCAATCTCTGTCGCTGGCATGCCGATTGCTGGTTCACCCTTTCACGTTCCAGTGCTAGATCCATCGGCAGTTAGAGTGATCGGTTTGAGAAACGATCGTGTTGGAGTAGAGCAACACTTTAACGGTACGTAATTCTGAAACACAAAGCGTACTGAAGTCGCTACGAGGAGTTGTCCATTTCAGTGGATTACACACAAAGTGGAGCCTTGTCGGCTTCTGTGGAAATTCGACGTGGGTCCTAATTCAGTGCCATGTGCGGTGAAGCGAGTTAAACCTGGCCTACTGATGTGCTCCTTCACACCGGCTGTAAGCGGTCTATACATGATCGATGTTCACATCGACGGATTAATCCTTCCTGGTAAGTGAGCGCCTGTCACCTTTACGGTCATTCCACTTACTTCTATGGAGAACCTGATTTGCCTTTGACTCGATATGTAATCATTTCAGTTAACATTTGCATTTAGTACAGCCATTCAGTAATCTAGTATATTTGTAACTGTGGCTGGCACGGGTACCCGACAAGAGGCCCGTCGCGCGGCAGGCAGGTAGGGTCAGCGAGCGTGTCGCAGCGCGTGCTGTGCGATGTTTGACGTACAGTGATACATTCTACTTAACATGACGCGAAATCACTATCGCCGCGCGGCGAGTCGTCCGCTGAGTTTGCTTTCTTGCCGCCGACGGATCTCCTTTCAGATACCCTACTGGTACTGATAAGAAACCTGAAATAATTCGGAAAATGTACAACAACTTGCATGGCAAATCCCCAAGCTGTAGTGCTTGCTGTGTTGATCACAATTTTGTTTAGAGTGTCCGTACGAGTGTACCATCAGTTCCGTAGGAGCAGTTCGCGCGTGCGGTGACGCGTTGCGTCGCGCGCAGCGTGGGCGTGTCGCTCGTTTTGAGGTGTCGCTAAACGACGCGACACGCGGTGAGCTTGACGTGATGATATCAGGTGATGAACATATTGTTTAACTCTTACTTTACTGTGTAGTATAGTAATATTTCCCATTCTATTTCAGGCTATTTGGACCTCATTATGTGCATGTTGTTACGTGGTCTTGTGTGCTTTGTGTTGTGTGTCCTTTCCACATGTTTGGCACCTAACTATTTCTTATTATTTACTTTTAAGATCCCAATGGAGGTCCATTACCTGTACGATGTTATCGACAACAGGATGACAGCTATTGGGTTGAATTCACACCCGAACAAACTGGTAATTTAGTTTAGCTTTTGTATGAATACATTAACTAACGGGTTGATTCGTTGCAGGAACCCATACAGTTGAAGTGACGTTTGGCGACGTTCCCGTGGCTGGTTCACCATTCCGGTGTGAGGTGGTGGATCCGAAGAAGGTGAAAGTACGAGGGCTGACTGATGGCCTTCATCTACGCCACGTGACCACCATTAATGGTACGAGCCGTTCCCAAATTCCTTGTTGACTGCTTAGGCGTTCTTTCTGCAGCAGCAGGACTAAGATTGTGTTATTCAGTTGATCGTCGGCAGGCCGGAGATGGGGATCTAACAGTTGAGATATGCGATCCAACAGGCACGCCCCTCAAGGTCGAAACACTAAAGTCTCCCAGTGGTGAGGATAGAATTACGTTCCTTCCTAACCAAACTGGGCCACACAAAGTGAACGTGAGAGTGGCAGGATTCCAAATACCGGGTGAGCTCCTTTACTGAGTCACCACTTATTTTCTCGACTTCGCCGTCACGTAATCATCACCGTAATCAATGTATTTTTTCAAGGATATCCCCAAACTATTGTTGTATCCGAACAACCCCAGCCTGGTGTATACGGTGCAGCCGTGGACCATTCCATTAAGATCGACGAGCCTGCTAGCCTCATTTTCGACCCGAAAGGTGCCAACGGCGGGCTAAAAGTCAGCGTCACTGGTCCCAGAGATAACAAGGTTGGTGACTTTTTTTCCTGTCATGGCTCGCTTTGCAGTACGCATTCATGAACGCTAGTTCAGGTACGACATAAGGTGATAAGACGGCCGAATGGCACATCAGAGGTCGTGTTTTCGCCAGAAGAAGTTGGAGCTCACATTGTGAATATCGACTTTAACAACAAACCGATTGCCGGTGAGTCCTTAGAACGGTAGATTAGATTGTTAGCGTTGGTGGATACCTTCGGTATGCGCCGCACACTCGACTTCTGTCAATAATTGTGGACGCACGATGAATACGTGCTTGCTTGCGCGCCGGGATGTCCATGTGCAAATCATTTCACTTGTGCGAACCGACACAACTGGTGCAGATTTACTTCGATAGCGAGATTCGGCACACCCAGAACTCGCAGGGCATCCCGGAAATTATCTATTTGTTTATTCGTTTATTTATGTGGGAGAGATTATGCAGTTTCTTACTCACCCATGTTTTAATTACTCATTTTGCCTCGTAAAGCGCCCATGACTCAACACTGGAGCTGAGGGGCAGGATATTCGGTTATTCCTTGAGATCAAAACTATTATTCAGGGAAGAAATGCTGATGCCTCAGCAGACGATTTGTGACCTTTTTCACGGCTAGGAACGAGCTCGAAACGGTTAAAAAAGCTGATCGCAAATGTGAATCCGCCTCCAAATGACACTCTAGCTTTACAGATTGAGAAACAGACCGCGACGTTCTCCTCGATAGTGTCAGCTATCAGAGGAACTTGTCCAGCTCAAAAACATGCTCTAATTAGTTTCCTTTCTCCTTTTCTGTGGGCTTCCTGCAATTTCTATTCATTTTTCCTTCATCATCACATCCAATGCTTCCATTTTCTTTTTGAACCAGCACCACATTAGCGTACACACCGCCTCCATCTGTTAAAGGAATCATCCACGAAAGATCGTGATTCTATCTTACTCATAAGTCATTGCCTCGAGACCTATCCGTCACAGTCAGAACGGAAAGGCAATAGAATTGCGCTTCTTCTCGTAAACAAGTAGAAAATCCCGAAGGGCAGCAACGTTTCCAAATTTCCGCCGTACATCTGTCACACGTGTTGGCGACGGGAACGACTTCGCTTTGTTCCCGGAGTACTTTCACTAGAAGTTCTTCTCGGTCTTTTCTAGCTATGGCAATGATATTTCTCATTCCTTATGCACCCTATTCCATCATCGTTTTGTCTTTTTCTCCGAATTTGAACGCTTTAACCCGATTTTCTCATTGCGCCGCCTGATACGTGGCCGACCAAGGCGCACTGCTTTCCATGCGTTCCCTTGTTTCCACCCGACCTACCCTCGACCGTCCATAAGGTGCGGTTTTCGTATCTCTGTTTCTCGGAATTTGAATCTTGTTGCGTGAAGCTTTGTGGTTGTTCCTAGTGATTACAGCTGGCATATTCATGCTGGGGAAAATGCAAGAACTCTCAGGGAAAAATTCTCTTAAGGATTTCACACGACTAATTAGCAATTATGAGATCGGATATGATAAAAAAGTTACGATAAAAGTTACAATGTTACACTTCAGGAAGTCCGTTCACGGTGCGTGTAGTCGATCCATCGAAAGTGGTAGTGAACGATCTCGACATGGATCGCGATGGTTCATTTTTGCTTCGTCTCGGCCAGCAAAATGTGTTTGACGTCGACGCTACCGCTGCCGGACCCGGTCAGTCAACCAGCTGACGCTTTTAGCCCAAGTCCCTGTAAACCGAGAAGTTTGTCATAGTATAATTTTCGGACAATTTGCAGGCAAACTTCGTGCTGAAGTTCGGAATTCCGAGAGTGCTCTACTCGGTGAAGGTCCGGCCGTCGACGATCTCGGCTACGGAAAATACCGTGTCGCTTTCACGCCGAAGCAACCCGGACGGTGAGTGGGAAAGTCAGGCCAGAATGAAATGTTTCGCCCGCAAGGGGATATACTCTCAATATCGATCGATATTTATCGTCTCACCGTAGCACGAATGCACGCGCTCTTGCTAGCATTAGAAATCATACAGCGAAAATAGTTTATATTTCAACACGATAACGTTCTCTATTTCAGATACTCTATCTACCTCTACTGGAATGAGCTTCCTGTTGAAAGTGCTTTCCCTGTACGAGCACGATCTTCTGACGAACGAGCTACGACATCTCGAGAAACAGTTGCACCAATCACCAGCACTCATGCGAGGTATATTTTTGAATTTTTCCAATCGATTCAGCAATCAATAACAAAACTGTGAGATTTCAGAGACAAGTCGTCTTCTTCAATGGATGACGATGTGTCACGTGTAGTGGTTCGAGGTGACGGCCTTCATCGAGCTCAACTGAAAGAGCCCAATGAGTCATCCGTGACGGCAGCGACGTGGCACGTGGTAAGTTCTGACCTTAGTTCTTGTAATTCCTTTGAGGTGTAGCAAGAGGTCACCATGCGACGTCGCGCATATTCGGGCATGCACGGAACGTGATTCGAGCTACATCACTTCCTTTCTTTTACCCTCATGCAGGCGAATGCTATCTAGCTTGTTGTGTTTTCCAGCTATGTTTAAAAAATTGCGCAAACACCTCGAATCATTTACGATGGCCTGGATAAGTCAGCGCGGCGTCGCGTAGTGACCTCTTGCTTCACGCTTCCTCTCGTTCAATATTGACGCATTATCGTCGACTATTTTCAGATGGGCGATTAACAGCCACGCTTTTCGGCACAAAAGCAGACGTGCCAGTACGAGTACAACAACTTGGACATAATGTTTATAAAGTGAGTTACTGACCAATGTGGAATTTGTTCTGTTTCTTGACACATTGGTGACGCGATGACGCGCATGCGCGTCAGATTTTCACGCAAACGAGATTCTTTATGCTCGAATTTTTTTAATATTTTCCATAACCCAAAGCTTGTCTACTTTGTAGACTCCAGAAAATAGTATATCCTTTGCAGTACTGATATTGTTGAAGGGGTAATCATGTCTTAAAAAAATCAAAAAAAAGATGCCGAGGCACACGCACGACGTGTTGTCGTCCATGTGTTAAATTGGTCAAAAGCCCGGGGAAATAGAAACGTTATATAACTTTTGCTAAGTGAAACCCTTAAAGTCGTAGGGTTATTATTAAGATCTATCCTAATAAACACACGACTCAGTCTTGTAACGAATTTTTGTTGGTCTGAGTTTCTTTTCTAGCGGCGAGGTGCAGCGGGGTACCTGGCTTGCCATACTGTGTCTCCAACTCCACTTTAATGCAACTGCAGCTTTCCACCTTTTTGAAAATGGAATTAAGAAATCATTCATCAAAAAGCGGTGTTACTAAGTGCGGTGTAACTCAGTCAAAAGAGTTCAGCTCAACCATTGTTGGGCTTGGCACGACCATGTTGATTGCTGAACGATAAATGCTATCCAATACGAGGTGTGCTTTAACGATTTCACGCTACGCGACCGCTCGCGACCACTTGGGGGTCAGTCTAATGTAACGTTTGTGCGTCAGGCGTAAAGTCTACTTGCCGGAATACGATTTTGAAGTGAAGCTTCTCATTTGTGTTATGGTTTCAGGCCACGTACACGCCGCTCACTGGTGGAACGTACGAACTTCACATCCTTTGGAATGGTACCCATGTCAAGGGTTCGCCATTTAAGGTAGTCTAGTTATTTAAGGTGCATTTTGTAATTGAGCCTTTCTACAATAAATGTTCTTCAGGTCAATGCCGACACCTCATCATCACCAGCAGAACTGATTTCGGTTGATAGCACGTCGCTCAAGATTGGTATCATTAACGAAGATATCAAAACTGTTATTGACACTCGAAGAGCAGGGCCAGGTCAGCGGTTTTTCCCCGTTCTTTCATACCTTCGTTTTACCTACTCGAATTTCCTTCAATCTCAGGTCAACTGTCTGCTCAATGTATGGGTCCGGTTAAGTTAGCCTATTGTGAGCTCTATGATCACAGAGATGGCACTTATACCTTGAGCGTGAGACCAACAGAGGTTTGTATCTTGTTAATTCATTATTTTGACAGCTGCTATTCTTTATATTGAAGGTTGGTAAGCATACACTGGTCATCAAGTACAACGACCAGCACGTTCGTGGTAGTCCATACCTCATTCATGTGTCCATGCCGCCTGATCCATCAAAAGTTCGCGTCTATGGACCCGGAATCGAGCATGGTATTCTGAGCTTGTAAGTTTACCCTACTGATATCCGATTGCAGCGCCTTATTCTTTCTCTTTCTTCTTTTCCCTTCCTGCGATCGCTTTGCAGAGCGTTTGGGTGGAGTTGTGTAGGTGCATACTGTATTTGCAGGTTCAAATCAAACTTTGTTGTTGAAACGAGAGGAGCGGGAGCTGGACAGTTGACCGTACGAGTTCGAGGACCAAAGGGTGCATTCAATGTGGAAATGCAGGTGAGCTTTCTCATTTCCAGTTATTCAGCTGATGTTTCTCCTCGCTTTTCCTCTCTAATAAATCGAGAACCTATAGAGAGAGAAGAAAAATGAGCGAACAATCCATTGCAAGTACGAGCCAAAGGAACCTGGTGACTATCAGGTAAGCAGTGAAATGTGGCAATTGCTCATCATTCCTCACTCATTTACCAATTCAGGTGGAGGTAAAATGGCACGGAGAACACGTGCCTGGCAGCCCATTCTTGGTGATGATCGTCGACACCGAGCAGGAATTGTCGCGATTCCTCCGAGGAGAAGCTCCATCGCCAACCCCTGCTACCCCATTTGTACCTCCCGGTTGGGTTGGACCACCGCCGTTGTTCCCGCCCCCAATGGGCCAACGTTACGGGCCACCCTTACCTATGGGCCCCATGGGCCCTATGGGACCACCACCACCTCCAGGTGCTATGATGCCGTTTAACGCACCTCCTCCGCCTCGGCACAAGGCCAAATATCACTGAAGAGGTTTTCCCTAATAGAAACACCCTTGTTAGTTGAACAGTACGTAGCAAATACTGAGATGATGTGTAGTAGTAATATGAGTAACAATGCAGGTACCACTGCTTAGTGTACTTGTAGCTCACTCCCGTTGTTGACAGGATGAGATTGAGGTGCCTTGTTGTTGCTGCTCCCCCACCTGAGATCCCCCCCCCATAGTTATCAGAGAGAAACGGCTCAAATCACCTTCTACTTACGTGATAATCTTGCTGACTACGAAGAGTTCTGCCGAATAACGTCCAATGCTCAGAAGTTACAGATGTTTTTATTTTGTAACGTGATACATTCATATTTTTTGCTATACAGTTTGAACATCCTTCTTCTTCACTTCTTCTCATAGACTGTTCCTTTGTTCCTCGCCTCTTACCTTCTTCTTCTTCTTCTTCTTCTTCTCGCCTTCTCATCTCTACGCTATGCTTCTCTGATTCATAATGACATTTTTTGTTGATCACTCATTCATACGTTCATCATTCATTATGTTTGTGTTTGTAACCATATTCTATTAAACTCATTATTTTCTAGTGTATTTGTGTTAGCGCTACGCTGTCATCGACATATTATGAGTCTCGTATTGTTTTTGGAATATCAGAGCTGTTTTTTCTTCCTTTTGAGTGATATATTCTAGTATTAAAGTTTTATATAATTTTTGTAGCGTTTATACGTGGAAGTTGAGGCTTCATCTGTACTTAGTTTGACTACCGTGGTACACATCGGCATGTTCCACGTGGTATGTTCCATCACGCATAATCAAAGAAGCTGGCACAATTTGACAAGCTTTTTTTAGACATCGTGCACCTACGAAACCTTGTAGCGGCAGGTCTTTATAGGGTAGCGAGTTTTTCGTGGATGACTATCGAAGCAGTTGCTAGCGCGGGTCGCTGGGCAGTCTTTGAAGTTTCGAAAATTTTAGATTTTGTACCGTATCAGTTAGTGCTCAAGTACATATTTATATCAGCTCTCATAAGAAACCAGACTAATGAATAAAGGGATACTCCGCAAATGTTAACTGCACCCAAGAAGAACAGTTGGAGATCAGTAACATTACCAAGCTCAGTTCCCAAAAATCTCATGGTACTTGACAAAGCTAGAGCGAAAACAGGGGATTTTGTTAACAACACAGCTTTTGAGTCAGAAGGGTCCACAGCCAGCATGTCGCAGCCAGGGATAGCGGCTCCCCGACCGTTTTTTAGAGGTTTCACTGCATAGTTTTCATGTCTATTTCAGGGAGCATTGATTTCTAGCAATTCTCAGTTCTAACGTTCTTCTGAAAAGGGGTGGAGTAATGGCAAGAGGGCCACCACGGCGCATATAAGCCGGGAGAGCAAATCCTGTGGGTTATCTTGTCGGATTTCTACAGTTGATCAGTCGCTTCTGAAGGCAAATACTGCTGCACAGAGCATATTAGTACGTTTTCAAAAAGTCGTAATCGAGGGGGTAAAGGGAGTGGGCATGATTTCCGAGGGTGGAGCGGTCTTGATGACGTCAATGACGCCACTGGTGGACTACCTCAAGGATGAGGTTGGGAACATCTTCCAACGCTCTCCTCCCCCCAAAACGTCCAATGACATCATAAAATCCGCTCCATATGCGGCCATCCTGTTCACTACTTTAACAAAGACTTTTGAGGTGCAGCTCAAACATTGAGAAGTGCTCGTCCAGAGTTATTCCTTAGCTTTTTTGACATTGATATAAGGAACAAAGGCATGTATTTCGAAACCCTGCTAAGGAAGCACGTTCTGTAACACGATAAGCTGAGTGGAATGTTTTGAAAAAAAAACAGAAGTCAGACAATATGAAGCATAAAATTGCGGGAGCAGAGGTCTTGCGAATCGCTGACTTCGTTTACTTTTCATAGACTCAGGGTCCACCTATGAGTGCTTTCATTGTTAAGTGCGGAAACAAAACTAGGGAATTGGGCAAGGTGTCTTCTAACAGACAAAGGGCCATACGGGTCTTCCAACTAAGAGTCTAGCGGTATTACTATCCGTATCCCTTGACTTGGTCCATGTATACTTTAAATCACTGATACATAACAAGGAAAAGTGTAGGGGAGGAGGGTCAGACGCAACGAGACAAATCGCCTATAAGCCGACAGGATAGCTACGCTGGAAGTGGCCAGCCTAGGTGGCTCCAGCTACGCTGTGGAATGCTGGCTGACGGCGGTTTGAGGCTGATGGCCTCAGGCACGGCGGCGAAGACGTCCCTATACTTGCAGTAGGTTAATCGTTGAGCTTCCAGAACCATTCTATATTGTTTTCAGGTCCTTGGTAGTATCCTTTGTGATGGGCTATGGTGATTAAAAGACGGATTCATACCTGAATCTTATAGTGAAACGTGAGAATAATGGTAAACGTGAAATATGCTGGTGATTAACAGGCAAAGTTCGGCTCAGACCCACTTAGTCGACGCTAATTACGGTGGCTAGAAACGCTAAGTAATGCAAGTGTAGGGGTCGCGTCACTTCCACTACGTTCGAAAATCCGTATATTGTAGCCGCTCTAGGCGCTAAGAACCTTTGATACCGCTCCACCGCTGCGACAACGCTCACGCCCACCGCTCGATCATCTTTGTCCGCGTTCGGAATGTTGACCTCGGCTATGCTCTCTTCTAACTTATGGTTAGACTGTCCTCTAGCGTTTCTCCCGCGCTCTACATTATCTCTCATTCTCCCTGCCGGGCCTTTGAACTTGCTCCGCATCGTAGAGGAAACTGTGCCTCGTATTTTCTAGAGGCATTTCACGAATTTTTTTTCTCTTTTCTGCATTGGCGGCCCACCTACCTCTCTCCTTATTTGCACATTTGAAGTGAAACGTGAGAATAATGGTAAACGTGAAATATGCTGGTGATTTAAGAGAGCTTTGCAGGGGTACTTGAAAAGTCAGCATCTGAGAAAAAGAGGAATCTTTGATCTACTACAATATTGCACTCATATTGTTGTTCGCTGAAAAAAAAATTTCGTGCTCATTATAGGTGGCAACCCCAGAACCTTGACAATTTCAGGATTTTTTTTACAGTTTTTGACAACGAGAAAGTTTGATATTTCTGGACAGGGGTGTCTCATGTACTGAGTGCAGCGAAAATCCATAACAACTTTGAATAATTCAATCCGGATTTCCAGCTCAACTCCGATGCCGGCACGAATGTCACGTGCCCGATAAGGACGCTGCAACTTTAACAATGAGTTCATGGCGACTACTCAAGAATCCATTCGTCGACAAACGAAAGGGCCAGCATTCACACGAGTTTCGGTCAGCCGAATGGCGCCATATATCGAGTCGCCTGTGTGGGTCTAAGGTCTAATGGTGAGTCTAACTGGCTGCGTTGATCGTTCAGGATCTTTCGAGTAAATTGTACAATTATATCGATGCCCACATGAGCTTGAGATAAGTCTTCTTGGTGGGGCAATGGCTAAGACGTGCCAGTAGTGCTTTATTTGTGAAATCAAGTTTAGCTTGGAACCTTACTTTAACTAAGTGTAATTCTAATAATACTCAACTCGCAAACAGTTGTGAAAAACGTTGAGCGCGGAGGAATGGAAGTTTTATGGACTTGGGAGGGGTTCCACCGTTGTATTACATACATTAGGTTGGAAAGAAAGTTCTGAAACACTCAATTCGCGCTCTTTCTGGATTTCTCCTGGATGCTTTGATGCTCTGGAATCTTCCATGGGCGGTATATAGTAGGAGCGGACTGTGCTGCGTACGGTGCTTAAAACAGCTTTCCCAATAATGGCGTTTGCATTACACTAAAGCAACTTTTCCCGCGAGGCACTCCGAGCGCTCATCTTGTGCGAACCTCGCCTGGAGACATCAGCTCACTCCCATCATTCCAAACCCGGCCGCGGCCTGCTTTCGCACTATGGTCCAACAGCAGACACGTACTTTTGTCTTTCGCAATGGCGCACATTGGTCACCGGCCTAGTCGTTGCTCCCTGTGCGACGAGAACTACTACCTGTGCAGATGGTCCACCTGCGTGAAGATCGTGGGTACCCATCGACCACATTGTCCAAGACCTTGTCTAGTATCCTGCAAGAGCCTAAACAACCGTGGCAGGTGAGAGCACTCCAGACGACCACCCATACGCCTGTGACGACTGTCTTGAACTCATCCTCCGATTACAGCGCCGACCATGTCTTGATGGACAGCAGTCGTGAGCGTTGCGTCCAGAGGGATCAACAACTTCCGTTCGCATAGCGCGTTCAAGGCCGCCCGCTACATGAGGCCGCCCCACTCCCTGAACGCATCACCCCCATTCTATCACTGGACAGATGCCTGCAGCTACCCCCCCTTTCCGCCTCCCGCACCCCTG